CCCTGACAATAGGTCTCGTAAAGGACACCACCAATTGAAGTAGGAAGACCCGGTGCCAGTGTATCGTGAGCAGCATACTGCTGAGTGGACCGGCCGTTGGGCGCACGCTTTTAGCCCTACCTAATACTGCCTGATCTGACTCCAAGTCTTGCTTTGCCGGTCTGCTGCTGTCTCTTTGAGACTTCCCTGTTGCAAAACCCTACCTCGTTAGACGCGCGTAAGACAGGCTTGAAGGGATGGCTGATAGGCAGACAGTCAGTCAGTCAGTTTGGACTAGCCCAGATAGTCTCGGTAGGGCAGAATACTGTAGGGGGGCTAATCTCAGGGACTATTGGGTCACTATGTTCTTATATGATCCGGTACATGGGGATCTATTGCTATCTACATCTTTGTCACGGAGACTGTGCGCACTCCTAGTCTAGCATAGCAGCCGAGCAATAGTCCCAACCCGAGCTAAACTTGTTTGCCAGCTGGTAGCGGGTGGTTTTTGATGATGCTGATGTGGATGAATCGGGGAACGAGCCGGTCGAACTTGAAGGGGTCGCGAGTAGGATGTTCAACGGTTGGAGTGCCACTAGGCAGATTAAGTGCATTACCTGATTCGGTTGTACGCATGAAAAGAGCATTTGCTTTGGGATGCCCGCCAGGTGGGTGAGGCCGCCCAGAGGTCAGGGGGTGATATGTATCAACACCATCCTTGTCACCATCATCGCCATCACCGCATCTGATGAGCACTACCTCCAGAACAACAATGTAATTCATCATTTTATTGGAAATGAGTTGTACTTCCAGCTGAAACCAAACCCGAAGATCATTCAATCCGCACACCCACCCATTATTTCTTTTCTGCCCTAGGTCGACTATGCAGTGATTTCCCCACCATTTCTCACAGAATGAAACACATCGAGTCTAGACCAAAAAGGGACAGACAGACCGCAGGCATCATACCACAACACCTCCACCACGACGTGACTGTCTGATGATGATTCTTGCTAACTACCGAATAGTGTGTTGCTGATCATTCATCCCCTCGCCTATTCTCTCCACCTTCCACTTTACCTATCGCGGGTCCTGCAGAATTCAGTCCCCTGCACCCAAGTGATAAATTCTGGTTTACCGGTATGTCATGGTCATCCTTTAGTTGGGGAGGTAGTCTGTCGCAGACAACAATTGACAGTGACCGGCGGGAGTGATCAAAACCGGCCGGAGGAGGGAATTGTGGATCTGACCAACTACATCCTAGGACAGACGTTCTTCGAAGCCCATAAGCAACAACTGACTATCTCTCGATGGACAAGATCATACTGTCTTGAGTGTGGTCCCGCTCTCGACGTGGAATGATCTTCTTGTTCATCGATCCGGGCTTGGCACCTCTATTTATTTATTAACTCGGTGGTTCTTTTTCCAGTATTTATATGTTTCATCCTTCTATAGGGTAAGTGACCGCGGAAGAGGGCTGGATATATATCGGCCTCGGTTGACGGGAGGTAAGCATAGTTAGTTAGCTAGCGAGCCCACTACTGTAGCAACCTTGAACCTAGAGCCTACGGTACTGGTAGACTGGTGAATTCCACCACCGGTAGGAGCTGGGAGCTGACAGTTGGCCTCTAACAACGTGGCCCTTCAGCTCAAGCTACCGTGGGCTGCTGCTATTCTTGCTGTCAGTTCGGCCTCCTCCGCGGGTGTCAAGAGGAGCGTCGCCATTGAGGCCCTATAGGAATACACGTGGTCACGAGCGGGTCTGGGTATTTCTCCCCTCCCAAGGCACCTTTCTTACTACAAAGATGCAGGCAATTTACAGGGAAGATGGTTCAAAGAGGTTACCCGTAGCGAGGCCAATCTGGACAACTGGGAATTCAGGTCCATATTAGACCTACGAGGAATTGCCGAGGCTGGGACCACCAGCAATCAAAGTTCTAGACAATGCCATCATCTGGGCAGGACGATTTAGGCATTCGGTGGGCGGGTAGAGCCGACAATCGTTCACGAGAAACCAGCCAACGTGCGCCTGAGAATCCCTTCCATAGGCGTTTCAGTGTGGCTTGAGTGGGCTGACTGACCATTACAGGAGTACTTGATTTAGGTAGGTAGATACTATGTGCTACTAGGTGCCTAGTGTAGTACAAATCTCCGTCGCCACACACTTGAGGCACAACCGTAGGGAGAGAATGTCAAAACTCTGATAACGAAGGTTAGTCCGCTTGCGGTCAAGCGGACTACGCTACTACGCCCCAGGTAGGTTTAGTGTTAGCCGGGTAAGCTTACTACTCCTCCTGATAAGAAATCGCGTCCATGGTTGTTTCGCCACCTTCTGGAACAGAAAATCATCCGTCTCCTTATCGGCGGAGGATTCCGGGATCTCCTGGTGGTTTGGTGGTTTGGTTGTGTGTTACGGTCGGAAGTTGCTTCTTCTAATATCCTATCCTAGGCTGCAATCGTCGTGCTGAGTGGCAAGATGGCGAAAGGAGAGAGGCTTCCATCTTCGTTCTAGAATGGACAGGTTTGGATTCAAATCCCTGCGGATTTGCCCTTGGTCTTTGTGTGATGATCTCGTAGTCCCCGGTCTCTAGTCAACTACAAGTAAAGGCGTATGATCAGATGAAGTGGCTTTGCTTTGGTGGCCAGTGGCCACCGAGGGTGGTTTAGTCTTCGTGCTTTGGTGGAACATGGGTTTGGATGATCATCACAAGATTGACAAGAGGTTAATTTAGGACTTACTTAGAACTGGTAGTTAGACTACCTAGAAACTGTGAACTGAGTTGAAGAAAGAAACAGACAAAGTTTCGCCAGGGTCAATCACTGCCTGCAAGTGATCGGCGAGATGACGTGAAGGAAGCTCAGGGAGTTGTGGCTGGTTCAAACTCAACTGTTTATTCAGTATTATGTTCTACAACTTCCAGGCTCTACCCAAGCTGCAGCAGCAGATCTGGTTTGGTGCATTGATGGCAGCCGAGTTCTTCGCGCGCCTGTGGTGTCACCCGATAGAATGTTCTGTGTGGCTTCTCTGTCGCCCTGACGTATTTGTCTGACCGGCGCCCGGTCGGCCAGGTTGCACGGCAGGACTTCCAGAGTCGTCGGTACACGCAAGCCTCCTCCTCCTCCTCCTCTTTATTATCACCCAACTGCAAAGGGTAGACAGAGTGATAGAATGCAAAACAGGTTGTTCGTCACCCCAGTATTATGTGATCCACTGATTCCTATCCCCATCGCACGCCAAGGTCTGGTAAAGCGCCCCGAGACCCATCGGTGTCTGGTACTAACAAGCTTCTCGACTCATTTTTCGACCCCCTATCTACACCACCAAACCCAAAAGGGTAATACGTTGCTCATCCCGAGTCCCGTCTCTTCTCTTTCTGTGCTTTTGTTGTACTCGTGGAGTAAAAGTGTTTGCTCGCCAGACGCGCCAAAGAGATTGAAAGGTGGAGTGAGTGTCTGTGTGGGGTGGGGTTCTTGTATCACCAATCTGAGGACCCTGTGGATTCGCCGGAATTCTTTCATCAGCAAGTCAGACAGCTCTCAGTCTCTATTGCCACTCACTGGCTTGTCGGCTTATGTACGAACGGACCGAAAGCGCCCCTAATCGATTAGTTCGACGCCGCAAGGGAGTTGGGCTGGCCCCTCCCCGGTCTTCCCCCCTCCCTCCCTTACTGTCCGTCCTCAGTGTCCTGTCTGTCCTCCAAAATGGGGCACACCATCCATCCACCTTTACGTCTTCTGCTGTTTTCTGGAAAACCATGTTACCATGTTACCTAGCCATGACCCGGCCGAATCCCCATCCCTCTCTTCTCAGACATCACCACCACCATTATACCCACTTTGGGCACCACAATACGATCAAGAGAATGGGGAGGGGGAGGGCCGTCCGGTCTTCTTTATGAACTACTACACCGTGACACAGACACGGGCCTGCAAGCCTGCAGGCCCTTGCAGCAGGAAGGCGACACTGGCCTGGGGAGAGCTAGCTGCAGGCAGGGATGTTCACCGGTGATACCACGCCGTCGTTGTCGACCGGCTCCGGCCCCAGGATTTTGTGAAGGGTTACATGAGGATCCCAGGCTAATCAAATAGTCTAGTCAAAGGCTCAAAGCAATGACGGAGGGGCTGGCTGTCTCCCACTCTTTGTTTTGCTCGGGTAGTAGATCCACCCAGCACAAACCAAGACTACCATCAGACTAATCCCTAGAATAGCTTAGTGCCTACGTGAGGATAGTCCAGGCGCACCTGGGGTCAACGAGGTCGAAATGCCCGCCCTCAATTCGCAGTCTGTTTCATTCGTGCTCAATTTGCGCAATTGAGTGCCAGATCGGACTCCCTCTCTCTTTCTCTTGCGCTTAATCCTTTCCCATCCTTCTACGCTTGCGCTCCTTCTTGCACTCCTTCCCTCACAAGTTACAAACCCCCCTTACCTGTGGCTGCACAGCCTGCTTGGCGTCCTGCAGATCCTGCGCCATTCGAGCCAATCAATGCGGGGGCAGACCCAGTCTGCACGACCGCCGTCAGGCCGTCGTGCGCCTAACGAAGAGTCGAATCAGTCATGCCATTTCAATCAGGACTCTTAGGCGTTTAGGCGAGGGGCCGACCGACCGGAAACTGTCTCTCCGGGCCCGGGTCCGGATCTGTAGTCTGGATTGCATCGTCGGATATCTATGAAGATGGCGGCGGGTGCGCGCGCGCGCGCTTCTTGGTTCTTGTGTAGGTCGATTGCCTGCGTTTCCGACGCCATGGATTGCGGGATCCTTCTGGAGGATGGCCATGTGTTTAGTGGACAAGGGAGCACGCCTGGGCAATGCTAATTAATGTACGATGTGAGCCACGTAGGGAGGGGGCCGCTTCCAGCAGACAGAGAACCTTAGAAGTTAGTACATGAAGACCGGACGACCAGGTACATACCTCACAATCCTAGTTCCTTAGCCACTTACCTAGTGGTGTACCGTACAGTACAAGAAGTAGTCAGGAATCCAAATAGGCCCTGAGATGAGACTGCTATTCCAGTCCAGACTAGCACACCTCCATACGAACCCGCTTGTCACTCCCTCTTCTAACCGCTTCAGCCAAAACTGGTGGGATGGTTTGGATCAGAGCTTTGCTGTAGGATGAAACAGGGCCGCGATCCATACAAAAGGCTGCTCGAGGCCCCCGTTCGAGGGCGCTTCTAACGAGTTTGCAATCACAAATTCACCATTCTCCAGAGTAGTTCTTGTTAATTGGCATGCGATAGCACTCGTCTGGCAAAGAACCCTTTTTTCTTTGGGGAGCTTCTCTTGGAACGATATTGGAACCCTTCACGCGTTCTGTTCCCCTGTATGAGACGACAACGGGACTTCTGCTGCCTTTCTGCATTCTGCAACCGACATAAGCTCTGCGATCTATCAAATTCCCTCGGTCAGGGCTGAGCGATTTAATCCTCTTTGCATCTGCACCGTTGGTCATATTGACCTTTGAACGCGCGTTGTGGTGCCTTTCAACCCCTTGCTTACTGCTGGATCTCCTACGTACTTGCATCTTGAGGATTTTATTTGCGCATGGTGAGTGGAAGCTGCTCTTGACCTTGCTTTTTTTTTTTTTTCTTGTTTCGTTCCAAGACCTTTTTTCCTTCTGTGGTAATTTTCTAGAACACAGCTGTGTAGTATGTTGATATTGTGATTTTGATTTTCTCGACTCCTGTTTGGTTTGTGTTGCGTGCGCGCATTGTTTCACATGCCGGCTTTTGACAAGCTTGTCTGTCATGTTTCTTCTCCCCTTTGCCCCTCTCTCTCCATCTCCACTCAATCCACAATCAAAACAACAACAACATCATTGTCATCGTCATTTTGCTTGGGCACAATCTAGAATAAAAAGAAAGAGGAAGGGAGGAAGGAGGGGCATGGAGAGGGCCGGACCGAGTCATTCAAAGGGCGAGAACAGAGAATCGAGCCAACCGAAGCCGAAACAGGTGTTGATTCTTTACCGTCGCTGCCCGGTTCGATCTTCCATCTCCGAGACGAACCATCCGTCTACTTTTGCACCGGCAGAGCGATCACTCAGACAGGCAGAGAGAAAGAAAGTAAGAAAGTAAGAAAGAAAGAAAGAAAGAAAGAAAAGAAAAGACAAGAAGGCAGGCAGTCCGAGTTCATTGTTGGTTACTATGGGTCTCCCACTCATTCATTATTCATTGATTTTGAATGACGAAGATCCATTCCAACTGTTTTTCTCTCTGTTCCTCGGGAATTCTCCACCTTGGAGGGCTTCCAGAATCCAGATCCTGTTCGAGTTGTCTGGTCGGATAATCATTTCAATCCCAAGCCGCCTCTAGTCTCGAGGTTATTGAGGCATGACGTGATCCCGTCATTGCATGGACGATACCATTATTTGCTTAGCCGCGTAGTGGTTTCGACTGACCCGGGATGGTGAAAGGTGGTAGGTGGTGAGGGAAGAATGGACGAGGTCTCTTCTCGGAAGTCTTCTTTTCTGGTGGGAATTGAGAAGTTGATTGCTGTTGTTGATCCCTTGGGTCGCATGTGATAGACGATGGCCGGATGGTCTCTGTACCTGATCATCATCATTCCTCATATGTGAGACCATTGTTGCCTTGTTGCCTGTCTACCTGTCTATCTGTCTACAGTACAGTGCAGCAAGTGTTTGGTGGCATCATCCATTGAGCGCAATCGGCCATGAACCCCACCACTTTTTCACTTTCTCACTTTTTGCTGGGTTACGATCGACCGGGAAGTCTCGTCTGCACTTGATTCGTGGTTTGGGAGTCAGGGAGGCAGCATCCCTGGGTCTTTGGCTTTCCAACAGCCAACGTGGTTGCGTTGCCAGCCTTGGTGTGAGTGGGCCTCTTCCCCACCCTTCGGCCCACTTCTTCCACTTTTCTCTGCCCACTCTTTTCGACGCTTCCGTGCAGGTTTGGATTTTGGTGGAAGTTTGGAGTCTTTTGGACTAAACTAAACTAAGCCCTGAAAAATGATCAGCAAATGACTGAACTGAACTGATTGACTGGTCTTGGTCGGTCTGTCTGTCTGTCTGCCTGTCTGTGTCTCGGTCTCGGTCTCTGTTTGGCTTTGGCGCGCGCGCTCGCTCTCTCTCTCTCTCTCTCTCTCTCTCTCTCTCTCTCTCTCTCTGCCTTGTTTCATTGCCTGCTTCCACTCATATTTCCTCTCTACAATCCACAGTCCATCCAATTCAGATCTTCTGCCTGTGGCGTCATCCCTTCTCTTCTGCCTCCGCCTCCACCCCCCACCCCCCTCTCAAAGTTCCTTTTTGGGTTTTCAATTTTCCTTTTCCTTTTCCTTTTTTTTTTTTTTCTTTCTTTTTTTTCTCTTGCCTTTTTCTTTTCTTTTTCTATTTTCCCCCTACTGATTGATGTGCAGGCCTTAACACCACATCTTATTATTTTCCTGTTCCCCAAATTCTTTATCTCATTATTCACGCCTGTCCTGTCCTGTCGTCTGGCTGTCTGCCTACCTGTCTGTCTTCCTTCTCTTCCTTCTTTAATCCTTCTGGAATTCAACACACATCCCCCTCACACCCCCCCTCCCCTTGTCATCCACACAAATTCTCCCTCCCTCAGAACTAATCAATTTCTTTGTTCGCCTGCCAAACAGATCTCATTCCTTCACTGAGACTTACTCATACAATCGAGGTCATCATTCATCGAATTGCCTGCCCCTGCCCTCGGCGCACCCGCCTTCACCTTTCGACACCGCCGCGGCTGCTGTCTTTCATTCCATTCACCGTCCTTCCCGCTCTCATCCGCCGGTACTCGCATTCATAACCGGGCCCGGTCTCGATTCGCAAGTGGCTGGTGTCCAGTGTAAATACGAACAGACCCTGGGAAACGCAACTACGAGTCCGATTCCAAGCCGTTGACAAGTCTCTCCCCCCCCGGGACACGCAACCATTCTTCCCTGTCAAAACCATTCGACAAGTGCGGGGAGGATTCCAGGGTTCTCGGCACACTCGTTCATCCCACCCCACGAGTCAGTTACATCCTGGACGCGATGCTCAAGAAGAGGACTCTACATCCTCCCATCCTTTTTCGGCATCACACTCCCACTACGACGCCTGAACTCTCTCCGACGACTTCTTCATCGGACAGCGACTCGGACGAGGACATGGACTCGCCCCGTCCGCGTCCGCTGAGTCTGACCGTTCCCCCTGGCGCATTTTGTCCCATGCGTCCCTCCTTAGATGAGGTGCTTGCGAACACCGCCCCTGCACCCTATACCCTCAGTGCCTTCATGGCCTATCTCTCCCAGAATCATTGCTTGGAAACCCTTGAATTCACCCTGGAGGCGAAGCGGTACCGGGAAACATACAATGCTCTGAGTCGCCAGCTAAATCAATCGCCGATTGCCACTGAATGTCCCGAAAGTCAACATCTGCGCATGCTTTGGCAACGACTCCTGACAGCCTATATCATCCCCGGCTCCCCGCGCGAGATCAACGTCTCCAGTGAAGTACGCGAAGATATCCTTCGATATGCCAACCAAACCCCACCGCCACCCCCGGAAATCCTGGACGTTGCCGTCAAACTCGTCCACGACTTGATGGAAGAGTCGATCTTCATCCCGTTCTTGAACGCCCATGCCACCGCCGCTCACGTGTTCCCGTTATCAGAGCCACTTTTCCCCCACGAGGAGGACATCACGGTTGTCTCGAATGCAAGTCTGGACGATCACACCGTGAAGCGGGTTCGTTCGAAAGGCCGACGCTTATCACCCCGTTCGTCTAAGGAGCTAGGCTCCCCGGTCTCCGTCGGGTCTCCGACCGGCCACTCCACTCGCTCGAACTTTTCATTGAGTGCGATGACGTCTTCCCTGAGCAAGGCAGGCCATCGCACGTCGAGTAACGTCACCAGCGCGAGCGGAGAGTCCGCTTCGGGCGGCGCACTAACGGACGATTCGGGAAGTGTGCAGTCGAATGTGAGTGCGGGCGAACCGATGACACCGCCGACGACACCGCCTTCGAGTGACCCTCATTGCATGCAACTTGGCCACAGTCCGAAGCGGTCTGACAATCCCTGGAAGAAAATGGGAATGAAGTTAGGCTTCAAGAAGCGCTCGGGGAACAGTGGTTCTGGCAGTCACCATTTCAAGTTGAACGGCATGGATGAATGACTGGCCGTTCGAGCCCAGCAGACACGGCCTGCTTTACCCCGCAAGCCGAGCACTTTCTGGCAGACTGTGAAGCTTTGCTGCTGTCCTCTATGCGGATCGCAACCTTTCCTCCACCCCTGATCCACCTATTATGGAGTCTTCCCACGAAACGGCTAGCATTCTTCCACCTTCCCTTCCTCCGACAGACTCGACACCCGCGAAGCTATCTCTCAAAACGTTAACAATGTGCCTACGACTGGTTTTCCGATTTATCTAGCCAACCTTCCTCTCCAAGTTGGAGTCCGAGAGGATGACGACGACGATGGTGTAATGCATGTGCATCTCTAATTTTATATGTTCCCGGTCCGGGAAAGCATCTTCACAACCGGCGTTTCTCCCTTGTTCATTATTGCTCAACCCAGCGAGCGGATTCAGCGAGCATTTTCGATATTTTCTCATGTGTCATCAACAAAACTCATATAGACAGGGATTCGAAATGGGGTGGTATTCTGGAGGTTTTTGTATTATTTTTTTTTCCGTTCTGGCGTTGGGGTGTCGTCATGTGTCAAATTCTTTTTCCCCCTGTCTCCTACGTGATGTGATGTGCCATGGCCTTGACGTGTTCATGGTTCCGAATGAGTGAGATATCGGCCAGGGCCACCATGCCGGTCTCCCTCAGTTACCCTTCTCCGTGTTCTATATTTACCTTTCAGTCCCCTTCATATGGTCCTGCATCCTTGGCATAGCATGATATTAGCATTAGCATTAGCATTAGCATTAGCATCGCTGCACTGGTGGTCGGTTAATAGATACCCATGGTTTGATGCGTTGTCAACAGTGTGTTACTTCTTTGTAGACTTGAAATCTCAGAGTGTAGACAGAGTACGGATGCTCAAGAGACAGACCTTGATTGCAGCCACTGGAAAAAAAATTGCAGAAGATACAGGCTCGAAGGCTTCGTGGATGGATCTCACAGGCACATATCCAAGCATCCCGACTGTATACCTCCCAAGGCCATGCTCGGGCGAGAAAGCTATATAATAGCACAGCGGATGCCCCGCCCTCTGAATAAATCTATGGGAGCATGGACTATGCTTGAGGCTAGTGGTCTCCCTATGGCCGCAAAAAGGACATTGCAAACCAATCTTGTGATTTACTGGCTCCCCTTTCTAGCCCACAATTCTCCTCCCTGGCCTCGTCTCCAGCGCCCCAACGGTGAGATCCCACCCTGCGTCTTCGAGAGCAGCCATGTACCGCTCGAATCGGCCGTCTCGATTGAGAAAAGAGAGTGTTCGGTGGAGAATGTCGAGAATGGAGCTGATGCGTTTATTCTTCTCCGGTTCGGTTCCTCTCCTAGACGAAGGGACCGAGGCAGAGCAGGAAAGCACTCGTGCCGCGAGTAAGGCGTGCAACCAGCCTTTCAGTTGAGACTGTGGGGTGCAGGTGGATTTCAGAAGGATGTTGGCGTGCCATTTGTTCTTCTTCCCAGGCTCGAGGAAGAGGATGTAACGTTCGTCTGTGAAGAGGGCGGAGAGGTGCGGCAGGGGGATGCCGGTCTTGAGGGACTGGGAGGATCGGCTGGTCCTGACTGTAAGGGAGGAAGAGGATGAGGGGCCGGGGAGGAATTGGGAGAGGGAGACGCCGATACGGCAGGTGCCGATAGGGCGAGAATGGAGATGGCGTGCGGCGACGGTCTCTGGGATAGTCCATCTGAGGATGCCGTCTTCCTCGAAAATCTTCTCGTGTTTCGCGACCTGGGATGGGGTGAGGATCTGCAGTCGCCAGGGAACTGCATTCTGGTTTTGTGGGAAGGAAGTTGTTGTCGTCTGGAAAAGTGGTTCGCTATGGGTGCTAGGACTAGTGCCGGGGCTATGGTCCATGAAGCGCATGAAATCCTCGTCAGAGCTGACCAAGGTGGAGAAGACAATGTTTGCCCGTTGCCTATTTAGACTGGTCATTTGGACAGAGCGTACAGCTGCGTAGTTCAGACTCAAATGAAGCGCCAGAAGCATAAGGAGGGCGATCCACGTTGCAGCGAAACCAGTCACATGCGAGACGACGAAAGAGCCAACCTTGTTTTTTTCGATCTGTCAGCTAGCCCTATTCATGCATGTATGCATGTAGTGTGCAGGGTACGGAGAAGGATGAAATGATAGTCGCTTACCAGCATGCCAACGAGCGAGATGATAGTCTCTTGCGATGAATCTTTCTGTTGTAGGGAAGGTATTAGCCGGCTAGGCACAGATAGCGACGCGCCACTACGAAGCTAGGCACAACACTCACGGCATTGACCTCCGCCAGATTTCCCCATTTAGAGAAGTGCGCACTCAGGCTCGCCTTGGAACTTCCGCCTGCGACGCCGCATAGGGCGCGAAGAACGCCGGCCGTGCTGAGTACAATGACTCGGAGAGCACCTGCCGGGATTATGGGTGATAGACAGTCGAGGATCATGGCCAGATCGTTGAAGACGTCAGCAGCAAGTCGGTACTTCTTGCATTCCGGCTCCAGAGCGGTACCGACCCGGTGCGCGAAGAGAATGGTCGCAATGCGGCCGGATGAGTCTTGGAGGATATGAAGAAGTAAAGCTGAGGTTGGCGACGCATCCGCGTTGCCCACGCCCACGCCTGTGAAATGTTCATCAGTGTTGATTCTATTGCTGCGGCAGAGCGAGTACATATGGTATGTATATATGTACCAACCTTGTAAAACTGCTCTGGACGACAGGAGGCCAGCGATCGAGCTACTGAATGCCTGGAGGGAGTCCTTCGCGAGCCAACATTAGCGCGTTTTCGTCTGTATGCGAAGCGGGTAGCTTGTAGCTTGCGATGAACACGCGGCTAGCAAACATACGAATATTTGATAGCTGTATTATTTGTTAGTCCAACACGAGGACCAAAGATGAGGAGAGAATGCTTACTAGGTATAGTCTTCAGTCACACTATGCGGATAGCCCGTGGGAAGAAAAACATCGGCGAGGGTGTCTAGCAGTGCCTTGAAAGACCACGGTGTTGTTGGTGTGTTAGAAGGGTTACGCTGGCAGCACAATCAGCTTTTCTGATATGCCTTCAAGCAATTAATGCGTTTCACATATGCATGCAACGGAGAATGGCGAGGTTGTCTCTACCGACCAGAAGATCTATGCGCCCGCTACTTGCACGGCACTTGTCATGATTTGATGGATTAGAGTCAGTTGACTCGGTATAGATATAGGTGACTGTAGGATGGTTGACTTCGTCCACTTCCGTGAAGGTAAGTGGTTTCAAATCCTTGAGGTCGCTGCCCAAGGCCATACTCCAGATTGCAACGGAGGTGCTATTGTACTAAGCCTGTCTTAGCTGTAAGAAAAAAAGATAAAGAAAATCCCCTGGTGATGGTTGGAGGGAAGGACGTCGTGCATCGAGGACTAAAGTTGAGTTGGTTGCGTGGCCGAGACCGAAGCTTAGCCTGTAGGTAGCACGTGTGACAGAGATGCGATTGGCCAGAGAGCATCTTCCCCATCAACCCAGAGCACACAGTCAGTGGGAGAGGAGTAGGCTGGCTATATTTACGATAGAAATAATCAGTAATTGAAGTCAAGAGTCTGTAGAAATTTAATTCGCATTTGAATCACACGGGCAAATTTGCCCCAAGACTCATTATAGAGACCAAGCATCTCTATGAACAACCTCCCTCCCGCCCCGGAGCCAGCAGACTTTTCCAATCCGAATCAACGAATTAGCTATGCACAAGAGTCTGAATAGAATCAAATAGCTCTCAACATGTTCCAAAAAGACAGAACAAGAAAATTACCCAACATGTAGCACGCCCCCCCCCCAAAAAACAAGAAGCTCAAAAACCGCTAAGCATGAAGACTAGCAACCACCAGCGCCATGTTCGTATCAGAGAATGCGAGAAGCAGAGGCGGAAAGAAGAGAAGAGAGACCGGAGTAGCTCCGAGTTGGGCAAGCCAATCAAACGACCCATCACCAGTTTTCGACGGTGACTCCGATCCCGAATAAAGTGACGTGCAAGTTGAGATGATGCGATGAAGTAATATTACCAGGTGGCCTCACGGCTCCCCTGTAAGCTCTCCCCTCAAGAGAGTCGAGCAGGTGCCGTGGTCCAAGCCATGAAATCCTCATCGCAAAATGACATCAGTCGTTCTGCATCCCATCAAATGTTAGATTGACCTTTATCGTCGCGTCATCTCCTCATTGGACATTCTTTGGCATCTAGGCAAAAAGGCTGGCACCACCGGTCTCGATGGCTTCGATCTCGGCCTCAGTCCAGGGCAGACGGTGGAAACGAGTGGGGAGCTCAGCACGATCGAAGAATTCACCCTGCTTGGGCTGGATGGGTCCCAGAGAAGCGCCGGGGGCGCGGCCGATGCCCTGAGAGAAAGAGGCGCGACCGAGGGGGCCGTGCTGCTGGGCCTTGGAGCGATAGGCGGCGAAGGAGTCGGGGAGGACACCGGTGGGGGAGGCCGGGTGAGGACGAGGAGTATGGTCAATGGACTCTGGTAAGACGCGCGTTAGATAATGCACCTTTTGGAAGGTCAGACAAGAGAGAATGAAGACCTACTAGGCACAGAGCGCTTGCCAAGGAAGCGAATGAGGGGGGTGCGAGCAGCGTTACGAAGAACCATAGTGGCGTGCATTGTGAAAGTGAGAGGAAATTGGTGGAATTTGTATCGACAGGGAAAGGTGTAGGGAGGGAGACAAAGCGCGTCGAGCTTTCCGAGACTGTCCGCAGCGACCGAAGCGGGCGGGTGATGATTGCAATTGGAACGTCGGAGCGGAAGATTGATCGCAAGAGATGCAAGCTGGTGAATTCTAGAGAAGACTTCAAAGTGTTATATAGACAGTAGAAGTGATTGAATGACTGCGGAGAAGGAAGACAGAGGAGAGGAGGGTGGAAGAAGAGGAATTGAATGAGAGAAGAGGGATGAGTAGAAGAAGAGGGGAGAGGAACGAAGGAGGAGGGGAGAGGGAGGGAGAGAGGGGGGGAGTGGGAGGAGAGGAAAAAGGCGGATGGAGCAGTAGTACGTCGGTCGAGGAGCTGTCGACGTCGGAGAGCGGAAGCGAGGGTGTGGGTTTTTTTTTCTTTACGATAAGCTCTGGTATGGAGGAGGAGGACTAACGAGTACTGAGTAAGTAATATCGTTTATTAATTGTCAACGAAAGCCACCAATCCACCACCCGCCGGCCGCCGGATTTCACCTCCCGAACAACGAATTTCTTCCTCCGGCCGACTGCCTTTCCCTCGCTCTCTTTCCCTCCAGGCGGAAAACATTCCTCTTTCAGTGGTATGATCTGACAGCTGGAGTGCTGGGGAGGGGGCCTCTGGGGTCTTAACTCCGAAACCTTTGAAGTTTGAAGTTTGGACAGGATTATCAATCAAGCCACCGACAGCTGGAGCCTGGAGGGAGGGAATCCAGGGATGCCTTTCCCCTCATCTTTTCCCCAAATCAACAGCTCCGAAGGGCATCGGGCTGCCCCGAGCTTTGCCTAAACCCGCAATCTCGGTGAAGGAAGCAACTCAAGAGTCGCGAAAGAGTTGGAGGACTCGTGTCTGACTAGGCTGTGAAGGCTGCAGTCCGGTTGGTTCGGTCACTATGGTGTAACCAGTCTTATCAAATTATCGCTTGTCCATCGTCTGATCGTCTGTCTGGCGTGATTTCTTCCCTCTTCTGGGTGTTCATCCCCGCATCATGAATCCCCAAGCAATATTGAGTATGGAGTACAGTACATAGAGCCTGATTTCATGCCAGCTTACCTAATTAGAAGACTATAAAGTTATATACCTAGTACCTACTGAGGTACTGCGCAGCCTTCACAGTGTTCTCATGTTTTTACTCTTCAATAAATTCTCCGCCATCATTATTTGACCTCTTAGACTCATTACTACGCCGTATACAATATCGTAGGAGTACCACACATCAACGTACTCGTACCACCCAAGAGTACAAGGAGACGACCCGGAAGAGTGCCGGGTGGAAAACTTCCCTAATCAAGATCAAGTCATTGTTACCGTGGGCCTTACCATCATCTTACCATCACCTTACCATACCGCCGCCAGGTGGACACCACCATCAATCTTCATCCCGGTTTTACCCGTTTCTTGTCCTTCTAAGGCGCAAGAAGTCAAGGCTCTAAGGCTTTCGTGATCGGAAAGGAAAGCTTACCCAAATTTCCCCCAAAGTTACGCCTAGCACCCAAAGCACCCCAAGCCATCATCAAAACACGCGGCGCCGAACTTGCTAGACGGAGTTAGGCAATTTTATTCCCCTCCCCTCCTCTTTACCCCAGGTTCTATTCTTATTCGTCTCGATCCTCCGATTCCCTGTGATCATCATGCATGAGCTTCTCCTCTTCGCCTCGGTTCCCGCCCACCAGCATCATGAGCTTCTCCAACAGCTGGCCGGCTTGACAGCTATGCAACCCCGTCACCGCTTGGAGAGGCGGTTGGTTTTCAAGGCCTCCCGCAAGCCTGGTCTGGTCACCACCCGCGTGGGAGCCAGTCAAGACCTACAGGGCGCAGACATGCAACGTTTGAATAAGATGTTGAATGGTGGCATGTACTTCACCCAGGTCGTCGGCGCCGTGACCGAGGCTGATTTGGGCGCCACATCGTCGGCGACTGATGTAGATGTGTCCATGTCTGGAACTGATGGGCCTTCTTACTGCTACGAAAACCAATCCTGGAAACTGGAGTTCAGGGACATTCCCGAGGCTGGTACTCGGTCTGCTGTGACCACTCGCTTAATGGCAAGTGCAAGCTTGCCAAAAGGTGATATCGCAGTTCCCATGAATGCTTGGGGCTATAGGTCTGTCTTCCCCATGATCTTTTGCTTGCTTCCTAGTTTGCAGCCGGAAGACCAATCGAACTGACTATTCGAGTTAGCTTTGTCACCGAATACATGGTAGAAGGAGATGTCTTTGTCCAGAACGATATCGTCATCTTTCTCCACCGCGTTCTGCTGTATCCTCCGGCGGGGCCACAGGAAGCACATGGCCCTCGACGGAGCCTACCAGCTTATCACGAGCTCACCCCGCTTGAGCGAACTGGCAGCTATGTCCTTCAAGCCGCCATCACTGTTCAAGATGGAGGCAATCAGGAAATGATGAAGACGGCTTCTCAGCATTTGTTCGGGCTTCGAGAGCAGCTCAAGTCAGCCGTCCGTCTCGAACAAGCGGACCGACTGTCTCTAGATACTCGAGCAAAATAACTGATGCGTTCTGGCGCTTGGTCTTTCGCAATGTTATATACCCCCGGAGCTATAATGGCTCTCTGTTCTTGTGATTTCCGCCTCTATAATCAGATGTATGTCCGATTTTCACCGATTCTTCCTGTAGAATTCAATCATGTGTAAGATTAAACAAGACGTAATGAGGAACGAAAAAAAAAGTACTGTTTTTGATGCACTCGATGTGAGATACTAATGATTGGTGGGTGGATATATGGAGTGCCCATTTGAGCATGTGACTTCGTGATGGCCTCGCGTGTGTCGGCGCGTTCCCTTCCGCTTTCAGCTCTTTCTTTGGACCGGCGGCCTCCCATCCACCAGCAACGCAAATCGTCTGCTGAGCCACACCAATTGTAAGCTATCACCTAAAGTACGATCAAGATTATTTCCCGCTTGCAGTACCTCAGGATGGCGGGTGCTGGGGCCACCAAGCGAGCAGCATCCCCCAGTCGCGCTATCTCTCCGCCTCCGGTCAAGAGAAAGGTGGAATCGACTGTGACTAGTAGGTCACAATCCGAGTGCATATCACAATTAGCACGAGACTCTACTGGAAATCTTTTCTGACAGTGCTGTAGAGAAAGCTGTCTCGTCGTTCTTCACCCCCACCTCACAGAAGAAGCCTCAGCAAATCACATGGCGGGTGGTGAACAACAGCGCTGTGATAGGTAAATATGTCACTGAATCAGAGCGCAAACCGGCCGCAGGAAAGTCCAAAGTCGCTGCCTTTGACTTGGTAAGCTTTGATTGAAAGGCCGGGCTGAACTTAAGTGTGGGGACGAGCCTCGACGCTGACGGGGTTACCGACACAGGACTCGACCCTAGTCTCGACAGCGTCGGGAAACACATTTCCGAGAAACTCGGCTGACTGGAAGTGGTGGCATAGCAAGGTGCCCACTAGACTTAAAGAGCTGAATGAGAACGGGTAGGTAATGGGATGGCGGATGCTCTTCCATCACTACGAAGGACTCCCGATCGCTGACTCCACAGGTATCATGTGATTGTCATCACGAACCAGAAGAAGATCAGCCTCAAGAAAGAGATTAAGGCAGGCAACAGCGAGTCAAAGAGTCTTACAAACTTCAAGGAAAGAGCTGCTGCTGTTATGAAGCAACTGGACATTCCAATGAGTATCTACGCTGCCACAGAGGATGACAAATATCGGAAACCCAGAATAGGGCTATGGACAGAGTTCCTTGATGATTATGACTTTGATGTTTCGGGTGTTGACCTGGCTAGCTCTGTCTTTGTTGGAGACGCCGCTGGACGGCCGAGAGATCACTCACAAGTAGACCGGTAAGGCAGACGACTGATTGAAAGTATTTCCCTCGCTAACGGCGGTTTGAGTGGATTCGCTATGAATGTCGGAGTGTCTTTCAAAACCCCGGAAGAATTCTTCCTGGACGCTGATCCAGAACCACTCGTGGAACCGTTCGACCCGTCCGTATATGTGCGAGAAGCACCTGGTGACGATGGTATGTCATATAGCGCAGTGTGATTGCGAACCCGCCGCGGGTCTACCCTTGGTCCCCAATAACAGATGGTGCAGTTTCGCCTCCCTTCTCTGCCGAAAGCCCACTCGAGTTAGTGATCTTCTGTGGCAGCCCAGGGGCCGGGAAGTCAACTTTCTACTGGGACTATTTAGAACCCTTGAAGTACGAACGAGTCAATCAGGACCTCCTCAAAACTGTACGTCTACTATCTTCTACCTTGTCCTAGATTATCTCACCATGGCCCATCTGCATCTGTCAATATGCATACCCCAATGAGATCCGAGCGAATGAGCAAGGGAACAACAAGAAAAGCAATCAAGGCCCTTTTACTGTGCCTTTCGAATTCATACGGGAAGGTGCCATGTAAACAGAAGAATGACTAACCGATCCTTCGCAATAGCGCCCGAAATGCATCAAAGTGGCAAAGGAACACCTTGCAGCCGGCAAATCCGTGGTTGTCGGTGCGTACATCCCCAGCATTTTCCTGTCGCTTAACCCTTGCATGTTACGCCGACATTTTGCATCCATCCAGCGTATACCCTCGCTCCAACCACAACCCCTCTCTGTGTCCCGTCCGCATCACAATCCTTGCACGAGACCTAGTCGACTGTGGAGGACGTCAACTGGATCTTTTGCTGACCTCTGGTGGCATGCTACACTCTACACAGATAATACCAATGCCGATGCAGAGACCAGAGCCCACTGGGTCGAAGTGGCCAGGGAGTTCAAGATTCCGATTCGCTGCGTATATTTCACTGCTTCCCCGACCCTCTGCCGGCATAATAATGCGGTCCGTGCCGCTAATCAATCCCTGGTACGTCGCACATCTATCTGGTCTAGCTTGGGGCGGGGGGTTTCTATCTTTTCCCTCTTCAACAGCGTACAGGGTACAAGATACTCAGTACCGAGCAGGTACCTCTCTACCCAAAAAGCTCCTGCTCAGGTCTACCGCAATGCCCGCCACGAGCCTGGAAATATGCTTCACTTCAGGACTATCTGTCCTTGCTGAGCTATCTTTGTCCTTCCTCAAACCCGCATCTCCCACCGCTATCATCTTTTTCTTAGTTCCCCGTTCAATCAGGGGAGCATTGTCCTTGCCGGGCTGATTGATGTTACCTTCGTAATCTTGCCATGGTGTACCCCGCACCTCCCCTCATCTGGACTCGCCCTCTGCTCTCCCCTCCTCCGCCCCTCCAAGTCCCGGGAAACTAGACACTTGGACGAACACTTACTAAACATCTCCCGCATGTGCTAACTATGCATGCATGGAACTGCAGAATCCTGAATCTCGGACTCTTGTCCCCGGCATCGCCTTCGGGGACTTTCTTCGTCGCTTCAAGGAGCCTTCCATGACCGAGGGTTTCAAGGATATAATTCAGGTGGAGTTCCAGTTTCGTGGCGATGAGGAGAAGAAGCGTCTTTGGGGTCAGTTCTGGGTATAGCAGTCGTGTTTGCTTTGTCATGATGCATTCCTTGAAGCCGATCAGTCGTTCGTGGTGTATGTTGGTTCGAACGGCTCGGTTCTACCCTGACAAAGACAAACCTGCTCCCCTATAGATTTCTATTTCTGATTTCCAAAGTACCTGCATCTACAAGACTGTAACTAGCAGCAAGGACTGAACAGACAGATGGGGAAGTATTGCTAACCATAAAGTATCATCCGGATGTTATGTCGGTCAGGGAATGTGGAAACCCAAGGCAGATGCAAATGCGAATACGAGCTTTATATGTACACGAATATGTGATTGCTTCCCCCCCGCCTCCGCCGCTTTGGACAAACAAACCAGCCGAAGATAAGGAAGTTGCATCGAGCGAAATTCTATCTATGTATGTGTAAGGATGTAGCCATGCGAACTTTTTTCTGCAGAACCGATCATGTAAGATATATGCCTCGAGGGTATAAGACGCAAAGAATGCAAAACCGAGCCCCCCTCCTTGGGTTCCCAACCGAAAAGGCCGATTTTCTTTTCCCATTTCTTTCGTTAATTTTGGATCATGTATTTTCTTTTTTGCTTTCTTTCTTGAATGATTTCCCTCGAATCATGCGGTCCGACTATCGGTAGATTCGATCTGTCGCCGCTCTTGTCATGCTTATTAGTCGTGCACACACACATTAAGTAAACTTTCCTGGCAAGGCAAGGAACTTGATGCAAGGTACATATCGTCGAAAAGGACATGAATCGAAATGAATATGCGTACGCACAAGAAGTAAAAATGCTGGGGCGGACAGAGTACAGCGCTACCGTTACATATCTGTGCAAGCAAATAGCCGGAAGGACGCAATTTCAACAGGTACACTCAAATGTATCAGTCAATCAGACATTAAGGAATGGACTGTACTCTGCGAGACAGTAGTCACAGGTACAAAAGCAGGTCATCAATCATCATTATCAAATCACAGAGTTCATAGGCGAAAGACAGAGAAATCATATGCATTGGTCATCATGCGCTGAATCGATCGAATCGTTCGAGAGGCGTGGTAATCGTCAGATGTTGTACATCGGAGCCTCCCACAGTTGAACATGGGGTCATTAAGTGCAGAATCAGGACCGAATCACGAGGTCCTGGAAAAATTTGACGAAGTTGCGTTTGATTGAGCGGCTCCGACACAGGCCCGATCCGCTGGCGGCGGGTGCAGTTTTCATCGGCCCGACAATCTCGCCATCGCCTAACTCGGGAAACTTGTCGTCATGCAGGCGCGGGATTTTGACCGGATCGCACGGGTCGCAATGTGAGCGGACCAAGTCTAATCGCGCACCTTCTGTTACTCTTAGGTGAGAGAGCATCGCTCCATGATGACTCCTCCACTCGCGGTTGATCGCCTCCCATTTTTCCTCAGTCAACTTGTAGATCGTCGAGGTGATACCATAATGTTCCCCTGTTCGCACAAGATGACGAGCGAAATTGCATTGCGCAAGGTCCCAGTTGGTACGCAGTTGTTGGAGCGAATGAATGTCACTGACTTCGGGCATATAAGGCTCGGGTTGGATAGTGAAGTTGGCGTGTCCCAATTTGTTCGCCCATTCGTCATTGGGATCTGAGAGGGTGAACGGAGGCGCATCCCCCGACACTGTCCGCACCGTGCTGGCACGCGGACGACTGAAAGAGGCAACCGAGGGCTTAGAGGACAAAGGCGGTGACGGCAGGCCGGCCAATCGCCTGTCTGACACAGTGGAGTTGTACAAGGTATCGTCAGTCATGTCAGCCACAGAAGGTGATTGCAACGGGGAGTGAACGCGAGAAGCGACAGGGTAGGATGGCTCATCCCCCATGAAAGGCGGAAGCAATGGGGTTGTTGCCTGCGGGCCCGATTCGTCCTGACTATATCTGCTCGTCCGGACAATGTCAATCGGCTGCGTGCCCGAATCGCTGATTTCCTCCTCGAAGATTGTCCGGGCCGGTGATGGTGGTACTTGGATGGAGCTGACGCGGCTAAACGAGCCTGTCACGGGGCTGACGATGGCTGACGATGCTGAGTTGGTCCGGGAACGCAGGTAAGTTGGGAATGCATCTGCCCCATCAATCCCATCTGAGGCCCGTTTCGATTTCCACCTCGTGGAGATGGTGGATATTCGAGATCCAATGCGGGAGAGTCCCTTGGCTGAAACGTTGTCAGAGCATCGATTTTTGGGGGAATGGTTAAAGTCCATGCCAGAATCTGTCAGATCGTAGCTATCAGCCGGATCAAAGGAGTCGAAGCAGGAGTCCTCCACCACGGACAGTCCTTGATCAAAGTGCTCTGTCGGAAGGGGGAAATGTTAACTTAATTTCTACTAGTAGGTGGGGAAATTTCGAAAAGAAGACGGGACGGGACGGGCACGGGGCTGGGAGCAAGGGCAACAACATACGGAAGTATTCCTCCTCGAGATCTCGGGCTGGTGCCCCACAGGGCTCTTCTTTTACTCCTGTCAAGGGGTTGCGCGAATTACTCTCCATAGAGGTCCCATGTCCCGGGGATGAGACTAACGACGAAACGGAGCTGGAGAAACGCGTGTGGCCTTTGGCCGAGAATAGCGACACCGCGGGTGAAACGGGCGTGGAAGAGGTGGTAGTTAAAGGCGATTGAGGCTGGCGGAACGCAGAACACGATTCTGCCATAGTTTCAGAACTGTCGCACCGCCGGGTGTCGAGAAACTGGACGGGTTTTAACATGATCGAGAGGAAGGAACCACTGGTGTGGTAAAACCTAGCGGTGATTGAGCACGAAGGCCGAGCACAAGAAAGGCGATGGTGAGGCTTCCACTTCACGTGCCAGTGAAGGGCAACACGGACGTGAGGAGTAACAACACAGGACGCAGGGGAGGGGAGAGAGTCAATTTGAGACCAGACAAAACATCATCCAAGAAGAAGTGAAATCGTGCCTAAACTAATTCAAGTTTGTTTGTTTCAGCTGCGCACAGTATGCCAGACAGAAAGAACAGGCTGAAGAACGAGCGGGTATTAGGTGAAAAGTAAACAGCTGAATTCCCCGAGGCACGGCGGAGGCCAGGACAGGCTCTGGCTGATGGACTAGGATGGCTACTGGTAGTAGGAGACGTGGCGTGGCGGTGGGATTAATTGAGATGAGACCAGATCACTTCCACACTAACACCTGGATGGATGCGACAAATTAACAGGTGGGTGGACCAAGGTGAGGCCGAGCAATCCGTCCGTCGTCTGTCCGTCTGTCCGCCCGTCACGATGCAACTGATGTTGAATGACAGGGCTTGGCCACTGGGGGCAGATAGCCGGGCAGGGGTTAGAAACGTATGCGATCAATAATTGATTGATGTGAAGGATGCTGATGCTGAGAACGACAGGCAAAGACCGACGTGGAGCCTGTCAGAACACGCAGGTGACGAACAAGTGGCCGAGGGTTGAGGGAGGGTGGTTGGGTGAAGCCCAAAAAGCACGGCGGGAACAGCTCAGTAGGCTGCCGGCAATCGGAGGGCGTTGAGAGGATTGCGGTGAGAGAGAGAAAAAGTATGGAGGGAGAGCTAAGAAGTGAATCCTTCCGTCTGATGCGATGGGATGAGAAAAAGCCTGTGGAAGATGAGGCAGAGAAGGCGGAGGAGAAAAGAAAGAGGGGGAAAGAAGAGGGGAGTAGAGAAGAATGAAGAAGGAGGAGGAGGAGGAGGAGACTAGGAGGAGAAGGAGGGAAACGACAAGGTTGAGGAGGGGAGAATTGGAGATGGCATGGATAATGGATGGATGGATGGATGGATGGATGGATGGATGGATTGGATGGAGATGAATGGATGGGCAGCAAATCCAGACAACAACAGACAAGAGACGAAGCACAGACAAAAAGTTTTTCTACTTACTTGAAAACTTCTAACAAGATATGAATCAGATACTACTGCTACTACAACCTAACTACGTACAGTTACCATCAACTAAAAATATAAGAATATGTTAATAACAACCCGAATTAATTCCAGAAGGGTTTATGGATGTTTTGATCATCGAATCATCAGTCTTTGCTCTCATAGATTAACGAATGAGCTTTCCTCTTGTCATACCCAACTATTCTTCTTTTTTTTTTCGCTTTATCTTTTTACTTTTCTTCTTTTCTTTTCTTCTTTTCTTTTGAATTGCCTTGTCGGGGTTCTTTACGACATTCTCGCTATCGGGCTCCAGTGAGAACCATGGGATAAGAGACAATCTGCATTGTCACTGGTGTTCTAGGTGGCCAAGCTCTCTGGTATCCACATGGAAGATTTTTTTTTCTTCTATGGTTGATCCAGCAATTGACAGGCCGAATTAGGGCTGTCGACAGCACAACGTAACGCAACTCCGAAGGAGAAAGAGAGGGGAAACGAAAGATCCTAAAGAAAAAAAAAGGAGGGAAAGAGATAGAGAGAGAGCTTTGAGCTGAACAGATCCAAAACACATACCAAAGTTGGAATGACTACTAGCGGGGAGGGGTTTGGCCCAGGATGGCAATTGTAACTAACAATTGTGTAGACTGTGTGCCAGTGTGTGTGTATCTGCGACTGACTGTCTCGCTCCGTGGTGTTAACGAGCCATGGATCTGATCTCTCGCTCGCCACGGCTCGTCCTTGTTCTCTGGGCTTCTTCCTTGATATTGGCGCCAGAGAAGAGACACGGTCGAGTGACTACTCCGCGGGAAGAGAAAAGAAGGTTACTGCCTCCCACGCTGTTCCTGAGGAAATTAGATCATGGCAAACCAGGTACAAGTACGGAGTAAAAGTAAAGTTATTACAGAAAGGGACCGACCGACAGCTCAAGTGATCTATCTTGTCCTCCAAGCTGTGTCTGTCTGAGACTTCCTAAGATCCGTTTCAACGGCAGCGGCGCATCGTTGTGAAAGGAAGATCGACATGACGGCCGGACGAACAGGAAAACTCAGCGGCCAGAAGGGCGTCTAGACTCTGACCGACTCGCTCCATCAAACGGACAAAATGGACCAAATGACTCCAGTGGCTGGTGGATTCTTCGTCTCTTCGGGCTTGAAAGTATTGTGCGACCCTGCTTGTCCTGCGAGCGCTGCCCCCTCCTCCCCATCCTTCTCCATCATCATCATTATCATCATTCCCGTTCAGTCATGGCTGGTAAAGAGAGAAGTATACCGAAAGTACCATGACCTATCACGCAACCCTTTGGTATCCGATCGGTTCTATTGGGTTTATCGGTCAGCAAGTGGAAGGACGAAGTGTCTGGCACTTTTGGCCATGGACAGTGTGGTGCATCCCTCTCTATCTGCAGCGAGCCACAGAGAGGCTTTGGTCACACTGCTTCTGTGGATGTGTGCACTTTAAGTTGTAGTCTGTACTAGCCTTCCCCTCCTCCACCATGATCCATCTCTCTAATCTCTATCTAGATCATGGTCTATGCTCCGATCTGACTTCGATTCGGGAGCTGCTACGACGGAGTAGGAGCCTGGAGCCTGCAAGATTACTAAAGTAGTACTAATTAACTTAGTAACTTGCCTTCCGACCACTTCCATCTGGTGCCGACGTCAGGCCCACATGGCCCAGCGCCAACCGGACGGATCCCTGCTCACTCACTTTTCTGGGCTATGGTTTACCTCACGACCTTTGTTCAAATTTGACTTTGCCGGATAGAGAATGCCAGACGAACGGGTGGAAGAACGGCGCGTTTCCGTGAGCAAGGGATCTTGGCACCATGTGCCCACAGTCCAGATGATCGGGTTGGATAGTCGGCATATACTGTTGTTGCTGCCGCCCCCTCCCCCCCCTTTCGCTCACCATCGACTTTATGTAGACCGACACATGTAGCCTGTAGTTATGCATGACTGTTCTACAGTATGCTTGTTTGACCAAACAGGCAAAACAAGTGAGGGGGTGATCATTTCCATATTAGTGAGTGATAAGAAACGAGCTGAAAGTGCGGCCGAGTACGTCATGGCACCCATCCTCCAGCCTCGGTGGGTTGGCGCCGATCTCGGCTGTCAAATACTGCATTGCGAGAAGTCAATTGTAAGGAATACATGATCGACCGATAGAAACCCCTACGTCATAGGCTCCGGAAAAGTGTGAAGTGGTCAAGAATCATTATTCTATCTGAGAGGAATGCTTCAGATCAGCAACTGTCCGACATTGATATGATACAGAAAGGGGTTAAAGCTCAGTACTAATTTTTCAGCTGAGGCAGGTTGGTTGTTGATGTATCGAGGTATCATAGATAAGTAGTTATCTTGCCCTTGGACAGTGCTGACTCAGAATTGTAATAATCCAATGCCTGATCTTATGATGCCGTACAACACCATTCTGTATCAGGAAGGCCATTATGAAGTCCACTCCACGGTCGGACGGGCTCACCTCTTACCACCGCGGTCACACTCACGGCCACAGGTCCTCGGTCACTGGCAAGCACCTGGTGTACTCACGGGTTCATTCCAAGTACTAGAGAACTAGTGGTATGGACATACTGTACATATGCAGCACATGGATAGATGGGCGATGTGTCCACGTGATATCCCTCGGTGCCTGATGATACAGGCATCATATGCTTAATCGGCTTTATCTCCGACATCTTCTCACTGTCTTCATGCTAGTACTGAGTAGCATAGTACTAGTATTGAGTAGTTTCAACCTAGTCACTCTGGTTTGACCCTCCAACCCTTTCCTCAATTGACCATCTTCCACTCCGCTCAGTGATGAAAACGATCCCTCACTGCTCATTCCATTGGTTGTGAACATGAAAGCTCCATTTTCCCTTCTTCTAGCAGCTGGCCTGACCGCAGCTGCACCCCAGCAATGGCCCTTGTCGTTCACCACCTCTGATCCATCCGACATCATCAACGCATCGCCTTTCCTCTCTTTCCACCGCGACCTTGTCCAAATCCCCTCCGTCTCTGGCAACGAAACCGCCGTGGGGATCTTCATCTCTAATTTTCTCGAATCGCACAATTTCACGGTGATCAAGCAGCCCGTCCCCGCTCGCGACCAGGCAACGGATACGACCACCGACACCGGCCGATTCAATATCTTCGCCTACCCGTCCTCCTCTCCTTCGCAAGATCAGCCCGAGCTCCTTCTCACCAGCCACATCGACACGGTACCTCCCTTCATCCCCTATACCCTCCATGACCACGGGAATCGTTCCTCCCTCCTCATGGCCGGCCGGGGCACCGTCGACGCCAAAGCTAGCGTCGCAGCCCAGATCTTCGCTGTTCTCGAAACTTTGAAAGAGAACCCAGAGACCAGCCTGGGTCTTCTCTTCGTTGTCGACGAAGAAGTTGGCGGTTTGGGCATGCGCGTCTTCTCAGACTCGTCGCTGAACCCGACCCCTTCGCCCTTCCGCACCGTCATCTTCGGCGAACCCACCGAGCTGGCCCTCGTGTCCGGCCACAAGGGCATGCTCGAATTCCTGCTCGTAGCAACCGGTCAGGCCGCCCACTCTGGCTACCCCTGGCTCGGTCGGAGTGCGGTCTCCGCTCTTCTGCCTGCGCTCTCCCGGCTGGATGTGCTGGGCGACATCCCCGCTGAAGAGGGCGGCCTGCCGGCAAGCCCCAAATATGGCCGGACGACGGTGAATATTGGGCGCGTGGATGCCGGTGTTGCCGCGAATGTTGTCCCCGCCAGGGCGCGCGCGGAGGTCGCCATTCGACTTGCCGAGGGCACGCCGGACGAGGCGAGAAAGATCATTGCCCAAGCGGTTTCGGACGCCACGGATGGAGATGAGGACGTCTACTGTGATTTCGAGGTGTACAGCGGAGGGTATCCGCCGCAGGACTTGGACACTGATGTTCCTGGATTCGATATTATGCCGGTTAATTATGGCACGGATGTGCCAAACTTGAAGGTCTCGGGAAAGGTGAAGCGCTACCTCTATGGTCCGGGAAGTATCCACGTCGCGCATGGCGATGACGAGGCAATCACAGTTGACCAGTTGGAAGAGGCCGTGCGGGGATATAAGCGGCTGATTGACGCTGCGTTACAGCGGGGAAAGTGAGTACTGGTACAGGGTTGGAGGTATTGTGATGATGAATTACGAAATGTTGGTTCCCATTTGCATGGAATGTACAAGAGAATGGAAATGGCTCCAAAGCCAAGCTGCAAGCTGCCAAAACGTGAAAGTTTTGAGTATCCAAGATATACAAAGTCGTCAAGTAGATTAGCACAACGAATAGAAGGGTTACATCTGAGCTAAATGCTCCATGGTCTGTCTCTCCTCCGTCCGACTCTTCCTCGTCCACCCTGTATTCAACTCTCCGGTGGGCTTAAAACGAGGCAAAGGATGCGCCTCGGTGTTGAAAACATTGTCCTCCAACGAGATGAACTCTCGATCGGAGAACAGCAGGTAGAAGTATTTGAGAGTCTCTGCCATCCAGAAGCTTTCCATATTGTCCCTGGTGGTAGTAGGGAGGGTCTTTGCGTTCGAAAGAGAAGTAAATCCCGTGATGCGGCTCGATCCGCCAGGGACCGGGGATCCTTCTCCTGTTTCAGTATCGCGACGGCCTGTCTCCACGACAGCGGTGTGTTTGACGAAAGACTTGAACATCTCCCAGCCCCAGTGTCGGTAGGTATCATCTCCGGTGATTCGGTACATGTAGAAGAGGGATTCAACAGTCTCGGGCCGCTGAAGGTTATGACGGTCCATTCGCTGGATTTCGAGGTCATCTAGCCAGGTTCTAGTGGACGAGTCGCTTGGATCGGATGCTGCGGGAATCGGGTATAAGGGCTTTGAAAAAAGAGGAAGGTCACCTTGCGATGATGGTGTCTGGTCATTCCTGCCGGTGACAGCCGTCGAATCCGGGTACATATCGGCTTCCATAACCCGTGGGTCGTCGACCTTGAAATACGTGATTTCAGGGGCAAGGCCAGTTTCTGTGACCAGGTACGTGGCCCAGCAAGTTTTGGTCAGTTCCCGCGCCAGGCGCATTTCCTCCTCCTGCCGTTGGCCCCAGCTTGGAGATTTGCGTGCCTCGGAGAGCGGCCGTCCTCCGGTCGCACCGAGAGCGATCGTACCTGGGAGGAAGCAAACCAGGTGATCCATCTTGGGAGACAAGATGCCATCTAGGCCGTGAGGCCGTTCACCGAGCACCGTCAACCGGGCGTTTTGCGAATAAGTAAGCAGGTACTTGCGCATGCCGACTAGGGCTTCATCCCACATCTCCTTGTAGATTGGCTCCTGTTCCGACGTTTGCAGGTACTGCTTGATAAGATATTCTGGGCGGCCCGTTAGCTTGGACATAATAATACCAACTGCTTACACCTGGGAACTCACCGTAGTAGGAGTCGCCTCTGCTACCGAGGCGGATGTTCTCACCCTTGAACTGGCCAGTCTCGGGGAAGACGTAGATGGGAAGCAACCCACCCTTCATTTTCTGTGCGTCAATCACTTCCATAACTTTTTCCACGGAGCGCCAATACTCCGCCTCGCCCGTCAACTTAGCTAGGTACTTGAACTCTAGCTGAACAGTGGTCGCTTCGGCCGTGGAGGCGGCGCCATCGTCGATATAAGAGGGGATGCCCGTCGAGGTATTGAGGTTCACACTCGAGTAGGGGATGCCTGTGGTAGATTCAAAAGCGCCCAGGAGCCGGTCGGCTAGGTCGGTCGCTTTCTCAATATACAAATCCTCTCCTGGTGCGCCTGCATCGTCGTCGTTGATGGGCGCAAGATCCGGGTACGTAGTAGAGAGATAATGGGCGGAGAGAAGACCGCCCAGCATGCGAATAGTAGTTTCGAAGGTGTTCACATCGTGGTTTTGGTTATACTGCAATGAGTTATGGATCCAGCTGCGGGCGTGCTGCACCCGCGATGTCAAATTCATAATCATCAGCGTATCCAGCGCATCAACAATTATCCAACCCATACCCCCCGCGACCATATGTCGGCCATCCTTCGCAATCGGGTGATATTCGTCGTAACCTGTTCAACGAGCAAGTTTCAAGGCTTACGTTAGCTTTTCAAATCTAAAATTGGTGACGCCACGGTTCTGGGCGTCTAGAACTTACCCCAAGCATTACTTTCATACCCGTCCCAACTGACAATGAACGCGTCGCGGACCTTTTCCCGCCTCGAATCCCAATCAATATGCTTTGAGGTTGTGCTGCTCCCATCATATGTCGGCTCGGAGTCGTCGAAGGTTTGCAGCCACTTCCAAAGCTCCTCGCCTCTGGCCGAGTCGGGAGTGCTCAACTGCGGCCGGCTTGAACCCGAGTAGTACCACCAGAGGAAAAGCGCAAGCAAACACAAGCCGCCATATATGGTCTTTCTCCGCCTTGTACGGGGCCCTGTGCGCCGCGGGGCAAAATACGGCTTGTCTTTATACATCGGGAGCGTGCGATCGCCGGCGATCGGAGTGTTCAGATTGATGGTGGTGGTGGTGGCAGATGGCGAAAACCCATATCCCGGCAACCCGTTGGACCCGGGGCTTCGACTCGCACGCCAGTAATTGTTCTCGAATGGTTGTTGCTGAGAGGGAAAAGAGGGATCGCTCCGCGGGCCCTGGAAAGCCATGACCATTACCGACCCGCCAAGGCCTTGCTACTAAAATACTATATCTGTCCTCTACCAGATATCCGATGTGGTAATTAATCAAACACCCCACGGACTGGATTCGGTGTTCCGAATGATGGGGACTCAATACCGTCACAACTGATTACAGTGTGTTTGTCCGCTTGGCTCAACATGAATCATGAATGGAGAGATGGCAGTAGGCAAGAAAGGCAGGTTGACCGAGTAGGAATCGGTCTTTGGAAGCTCTAGACAGCAAGCACATGCAATAAATGCAGCGGTCAGCCAGATGCTATGGGCACGAGACAGTGGGATAGACGTCGAGAACAGATTCCAGGGGATTTGCAGAGTAAGTGAGAGGGAAGTCACAAACGAAGCAAGGAATCCACCCACAATGCTGGGGAGGTCTGCTGTGGGCGACCGTGATGGATAGATCAATGGATGGGTAGGTAGGTAGGTAGGTAGATAGGTAAGTGAGTAGGTGATTGAGGGGTCCTGTCTACCTCTTTGGAGCTAACAATTGAAGAAAAAGTGTCCAGAGAGGCCGCGTAGACTGAAACGACCATCATCAACCTAGAGTCAGTGAGGATAAATTGGACGCGTGTAATGTCTCCGACTCTACGGTCATGGATGCAGATCCCTGGCCAAGGTATTTATTAAGTATTTCGGGGCGTCAGTCCGCCTTGGCAATCTCCTCCAGTTGGTTGGTCGGCTGGCTGATGACTTCTACCTCATGGCAAGTAACACTAAGGTAAACTACAGCATAGACTGCTCCCTGCAGTCTTGACTCAACAATAATCGTCTCAAGGACATCCTTTTTCCCGAACAGGGTCCATTCCAGGGTCTGTGTTCCACTTTGCGGACTTACAATGGGACTGTGTGGAGCTGAATTGTCCCCCTCAGCCAAATTAGGCCTGCACTCCATCGAAATGAGCACTTGCATGGGCATATGGGATTATAAAAGAGCATTGATCTAGAGTTACATTATCCAGCATCAATAGTAACGGACATTGCCAGTGTGGGTGCAAAACAGCTCTTTACATCATGACGGCTAAGCCCGACGCGGTCATTCATCGAGATGCATTTACAACTTCTGGTATTCAAGCTTGCCCTCCAGCTTCTTCGCTTCAGCCACCTTCCGAACAGCCCGGTTGAAGTCATCCTGGTTGATCGCATCGCGGTAGTCCTTGATTGCAAATAGACCACTAGACCAAAGTCAGTTACGAACATCGCAATAGAGAAGCAAGTGAATGAACGAGATCGGATCACTTACGCCTCGGTGACAACGTTGCGAAGATCGGCACCATTGAGACCGTCGCTCATCTTCACCACGCTCTCGAAATCGATCTCTCCATCCATCTTGACAGTGCTAGAATGGATCTTCAAAATCTCCAAACGACCGACCTCATTAGGCAGAGGGATCTCAATCTTCCGATCCAGACGACCAGCACGCAAGAGAGCCGGGTCCAGAGTGTCCGGCCGATTCGTGGCCATGATGATTTTGGTCTTGCCCAGGTAATCGAAACCGTCCAGCTGGTTGAGCAGTTCCATCAATGTCCGTTGAATTTCGCGATCCGCAGAGGTACCCTCAGAGAAACGTCTTCCACCGATGGCGTCGATTTCGTCCATAAAGATAATGCAAGGCTCGTGTTCCTTGGCGTATCCGAACATCTCTCGTATCAACCGTGCGGACTCACCAATGTACTTATCGACAATAGCAGACGAGACAACTATATAAGAAAAGTGTTAGTGATTACGAATGCAGGTTCATGCATGATTGGTATGCGTACCTTTCAAAAAGTTGGTCTCCATTGAGCTTGCCACAGCTCGTGCCAGAAGCGTCTTACCCGTACCGGGTGGCCCGTAAAGCAAGACACCCTTAGGTGGTTTGATGCCCACTCGTTGAAATAGTTCGGGGTTCTTCAGTGGCAATTCGATCACCTCTCGTAGCTCACGGATCTGGTCGTTCAAACCACCAATGCCTGCAAAGTTGATCTGACCCGGGTCTTCCAGCGACATATTATATACCAAGGGATCGACCTCTCTGGGCAGCATTCGCATAATCGTCAACGTAGTCATATCTAGGGCGACACGCGTACCCTGCTTCAGCTTCGCCTTGTCGACCTTGGAGCGGCAACCGACGACATATCGAGGCCCGGAGGAGGCCTTGACAATAACTATAGAGGTCAGCCCCTGCACAATCAAGACCAGCGAGTTCGTTGCCGACGATATCGACGATCAAATCCCAAGTCTGTCTGTTGGCGAGCGAAAAAAAAACTCAAGTGTACCTACATCTCTCCTCGTCGAGCTGCTTCAACACCTCACCGATGATCTGGCCAACGCTCTGCAAAGCCTTGATGTTCTCCTCGGAGATGTCGAATTCCCTCTGCAGATCCTTGATGCCCATTCGCAGGGACTTCAGCTTCGACTCCCATTCCCGCAACTCCAGCAGACTCCGCTTGTAGTCCTCGAGCGCCTGGTCTCTCTCTGGATCACTGCCGCTGTTCATGATGATGTCAGGCGAGAGGATGAACCAGACACGACGATGGATTCACAGTACCCTCCAAGCGCCCAGAAATCAAGAAGAAGAAAGGGATGACGATGACAGATTAGGATCACAAGATAGTGGTTGATGGTCTCTTAAGTTCACACGCCTACCAAGCTCGGGGGAGCTGTCGAGGAGCTCGGAGCCCGGAGGCAGCACCAGGTCATCCAGGTCATGTGACTAATGAGCATGGCAAGAACTCTTCACGTGATGAGCCGACCATGTGAGCCTCGTCGGTCAGGCAGCAACTGGCTCGGCTCAAGCCGGCCCGGCGCCGCAGTATGAGATATCCGAGTCAGAACGTGACTCAGGCATCAAGGTGTCTAACCAATCGCTTCCGCTGCCCGGCAACCTTTTCGTCATTACGCAATGGAAGTTTCCAGACCGTCGCAGCCCAAGTCGGTCTTTTGAGAGACTCGAGAATAACGTAGTGAGAGAAACATGCAGCATGTTCATCGGTCCAATTGCATGATTTGCATTCACTGTATTTGTTGATTACATCTTCGAGGAGCATCATTCATCGCTGCATGCATTCATCAGTTCCGACAATCTACAGCCATCATAAGTATATAAGTTATAGTACAAGTATAGTCTATAGTAGTTTATATTTCATAGTACTCTCAAGTACAATAATGTACAACAACGTACTTAGTACAACGAGTTCCGGGAGATGTACAGTACACTACTCCGTAGACTAAGTACTACCCTGTACTCCGAGGGTACGCGGAAGATCTCGCTGGAGAACGACAAGTGAAGAGAGGAGAGAGAGGAGAAAGTCAAAGGTTGCCCCACCATTCCATGGAACATGGGAAAGATTCGGAGAGAGAAGGAGATCAGAAGGCTGAGCTTTCCCGGGGCAATTCAGTTGGCCAGTGTCTCCAGAGCTTACAAGAACCCAACCCATCTTCCTTCTATTTGTCTGTCTCTCTTCTTTCCTCCTCCCCCTCCCTCAATTGTTTCTTCTTCCGCTGTTCCTCTCCAACGGTCCAGTTTTGTCCTAGGATTTTCGGTAAGTCTTCTATTTATCTCCTCACACCCACTTTCCCTTATCCCCTTCATTTTCGTCCAAAAAAAGTACTAGATACTACTACGACTGTTGTTATTGTTGTTATTGTTGTTATTGTTGTTATTGTTGTTATTGTTGTTATTGTTGTTATTGTTGTTATTGTTGTTATTGTTGTTATTGTTGTTATTGTTGTTGTTGTTGTTGTTCGTTTTCATCCCACCTGAGAGGAAGAGCTCAACCCCGCCATCCCACCATCACCACCGCCGCCACCAACTGCAACCCCTCTTCCATGTAGTTACACACTACTCTACACAGTGGCTGTGGTCGTGGTCGCCACCAATCCTTGGGGATTGACGGAGTAATGCTCCACTTTCACCGGGCTTATTGTTCAAATCATGTTATGTGATTTAGAATTATCAACGGTCGGTCTGTCTGTCTGCCGTGCTGTGAGGCTGGCCCATCATTCATTGATCGGATCTCTCCACCTCCTCTCCGTCAGTCATTTTGGGGTGCTCGGTGAACAACAACCACTTGAACCCCCGCTGCTAGTCGTCCACAGTCACACCCAACAACCATCCAAAGCACTTGTTTTTTTTCCCTTGGCCCCCTCCCCCCCCCCCCCTTTCTCCCTTTCTCTTATATAAACGGAGCTTGGCCTCTTTTTGCCCGTTTCTTCTCCAGTCAAAACTGATTCATTCCTCCCCCCCTCAGTCTTATCAACATGCCTATCTCTAAGATCCACGCTCGCTCCGTCTACGACTCTCGCGGTAACCCTACCGTCGAGGTTGACGTCGTCACCGAGACCGGTCTTCACCGCGCCATTGTTCCCTCCGGTGCCTCCACTGGTCAGTTTGCTTTCCTGCTTTCGCCTACTCCGAACTAGCGAAATTGACGATTGAAACCTAGGTCAACACGAGGCTCACGAGCTCCGTGATGGTGACAAGACCAAGTGGGGTGGCAAGGGTAAGTTTGACCATCCTCTACTTCCCATGATAGATGCATTAACTCACTCTCCTTATGCGATTAGGTGTTTTGAAGGCCGTTAAGAACGTTAACGAGACCATTGGCCCCGCCGTCATCAAGGAGAACCTTGATGTCAAGGACCAGTCCAAGGTCGACGAGTTCCTCAACAAGCTCGATGGCACCGCCAACAAGTCCAACCTCGGTGCTAACGCCATCCTCGGTGTCAGTCTGGCCATCGCCAAGGCCGGTGCCGCTGAGAAGGGTATCCCTCTCTACGCTCACATCTCCGACTTGGCTGGTACCAAGAAGCCCTACGTTCTCCCCGTTCCCTTCCAGAACGTTCTCAACGGTGGTTCCCACGCTGGTGGCCGCCTTGCTTTCCAGGAGTTCATGATCGTTCCTGAGTAAGTCAGCGGAGTCGAGCTCCTTCTAAAACAATGCAAACTAACACTTTCTCTCAAGAAACGCCTCTTCCTTCTCCGAGGGTCTCCGCCAGGGTGCTGAGGTCTACCAGAAGCTCAAGGCTCTCGCTAAGAAGAAGTACGGCCAGTCTGCTGGCAACGTTGGTGACGAGGGTGGTGTTGCCCCCGACATTCAGACCGCCGAGGAGGCTCTTGACCTCATTACCGAGGCTATCGAGCAGGCCGGTTACACTGGCAAGATCTCCATCGCCATGGACGTTGCCTCCAGCGAGTTCTACAAGGTCGAGGAGAAGAAGTACGACCTCGACTTCAAGAACCCCGAGTCCGACCCCTCCAAGTGGCTCACCTACGAGCAGTTGGCCGACCTTTACAAGTCTCTTGCCAGCAAGTACCCTATTGTCAGCATTGAGGATCCCTTCGCTGAGGACGACTGGGAGGCCTGGAGCTACTTCTACAAGACCTCCGATTTCCAGATTGTTGGGTATGTATTCTGACTCCCGGACCAATGACTCGGTTGCTAATACGAACACAGTGATGACTTGACTGTCACCAACCCCGAGCGTATCAAGAAGGCTATCGAACTCAAGTCTTGCAACGCTCTCCTTCTCAAGGTCAACCAGATCGGTACCCTCACCGAGTCCATCCAGGCCGCCAAGGACTCCTATGCTGACGGCTGGGGTGTTATGGTCTCCCACCGTTCCGGTGAGACCGAGGATGTGACTATTGCCGACATTGCCGTCGGTCTCCGCTCTGGCCAGATCAAGACCGGTGCTCCTGCCCGTTCTGAGCGTCTTGCCAAGCTCAACCAGATCCTCCGCATTGAGGAGGAGCTCGGTGACAACGCCGTCTATGCTGGCAACAAGTTCCGCACTGCTGTTCAGCTGTAAACGCAGCAATGTTTCCGCAGCGCTTTTAAAGACCCTATGACATTTTTGACATCCCTTCAAAGGGGGCCTCGTCTCACTTCGTACAGCTCTGGTGGGCGGGTTGCTATACGGTCAAGGAAGACCTTGATCAATATTTATGATGACGAATACAAGGCCATTTAACGAATAGTGGCATATAATGGAGAAAAAAAAATCCTTTTTCTTGTTTATCCCCGGGTCTCGCAAATGCAGCTCCCATAACCTGTGTAGTATCTGTAGAAGAAAGTAGGATCGAATGAATCCAAGTAATTACATGGCCTACATTCCCTCCCAACATGGCTGAGTCGTCAACCAGAGTGACAGGTTCTAACAAATCCAGTTGCTCCAATGGTGCATCCATAGTATGAGAAACAAGACCTTTTCGTTTTAACGCTGCGTCCAGGGTGTGTGGCAGCAGTCGGTCGTGATTGGTCTGATGTGACTTGTCCTATTCGAAGAGCTAATTCACCTATGTACGAACGTTAACATGGTATAGGACATTTTGCGACACTTAGGAATTTATTGATCCCATGCAAGAAACGATGCACCGACGCTGGTCGACGGCATGTTGAATTGAGAATTGCTTTGATTGGCAATGTTTTATATGATGTTTCGCTTCATGTCTACCTAACTCCGTACAACCTCCAAGATAACGTCGGGTAGATATAAAACCAAAATTGGATGCAACAAATCATGGGATTCAGGAATGGCAGTCGCTTCCACCATGAGCTCAAAAAGATTAAGGACACTCGGCGAGGTGCTGTTGACAGATGATCCAAAGTCACAGTCTGAACATTCATCGGTTTCGTCGGAGGAGCCCATTCTTCATCTAAACCTGGGATATGCCCTGCGCCAGTACTCTCTTTGGCAACGGCTGCTCTCTAAAGTCCACCCTTTCTATGGTACGACTTCAGTCTGACTCTAAGGATCGATTGACCCTAACAGTAAGCTCAAGCGGTCAAATGTAATTCCGAATCTCCGCTTTGTCCGAGAAGATATCTCATATACTAGACCCCGGAGTAACCCTTGTCAGATCGTCTTTGCTCCCTTCTGCAAAGCTGAGTCATTGATCACTTTTGCTGCTGACAACGGAGTGCGTTTGATGACCTTCGATGATGAGGATGAGCCGCACAAGATCAAACGCTGCGCCCCAAACGCACGAGTCATTCTCCGCATCTTTACAGATGACCCAAGTAGCAAGCTGCGTCCGAGCCAAAAGTTTGGCACTCCTCTTCACACCACATCAGGACTCTTGCAACTAGCCAAGTCCCTAGGTCGAGATGTTGCGGGCTTTATCTTCCGGGCTGGCTCAAACTCCAGAGAATTATTGGTATATCCGCGAAGCGTGGCTGACGCTCGCCTGGTCTATGATGAAGCGATTCCCCCAAGGTTTTCGGACTTTGGTAATCAATGTGGGCGATGGATTCACCGAGTCCGAATCCACTGGTTAGGCTTCTGTGCTGGCAAAAGCGCTCGAGGACTCCTTCGGGCAGAGGATGCAGTCGTGGGCGCCTCTTTGCGAGTACCAGAAAGACGACGCTTCTTGATCGCGTTATTGGGAGAAGGTTCATGCTGACTCCCAGCGAAGAATTATCTACGTTAATGACGGCGTATAGGGAAACCTAAATTAACACGCTTATCGAACCTCCGGTACCAGCGCCCTACCGAATTGAAAAGCGACTGGGAGATATTTTCTGAAGAGAGTCCTGTGGTAGCTGATCGTGGAATTGAGGAAATGATGCAACAGCCTTCAATATAGGAGAAGGCCTATTCCTATGTCATCTAGGGTCGTACTTTAATCGGCGGACTGTGTAATGACGGTCTGCGAGCTGCCTGATATCAATTGTAATGACTGGCTTGCATTACCCGCCATGGATGGTAAGTGAACGGTGTTCTGTCCATGAAGTATCCTGTCGTTGACGCCCACCTTCATTAATGCAGCGTACTCACATAATCTGTGCAACCTTGTTTAATGAATTTCCTGCAAGATCCAGATCAAGCTATGTGTGCTTGGACTCGATCTGTTGGACTAGCGATGGTGCTCTTCCAATTCTCAATATTTCTAGGAACTCTGGAGCATCGCCTTGTCCGATTGGTACAGTGAAGGTACTATAGGGGTCCAAGTAGCCTTGTTGGGTATACATCAAAAGTTCACACAAAGGCGCTGTTACCACTAGGGCAGCTACTGCACGATGTGGTAGTAGTGATTGGTTCTTATGGATCATTTCCAAGGTAGACCCTGGCTAAGACATCTTGGGGCGATTAAAGGCAGAACAATAAAGGATTTGTCTCCCTTGCGATCAACTGTTGTCGTGCGGTGTACTCCGTGCAGGACCAAGAATAAGTGGAACTCACTGTACTAAATTGGGCACCAGTTGTCCACACTGTCAGTCACGTGATTTTCCGCTCTGCCTGCCCCACGGTATCGATCAAGCAACCAGTCAGTCAATCAGTCCCTCTAAAGTTCCTACTCCTTCTCTTCTTTTCCTCGAGCATCGCCTCGGTCACCGACACCTGTCAATCAGACACACACGCTTATCGCTGGACTATTGACTGGCCACGCGAGTCGCTGCAGAAATTGCTCATTTTGTCTAATATTGACCGGATTCTTGTCCGCCATGGCTCCTTCAAAGTGGGGTATGTTCTACAGATGGGATTTTTGTGGCCCATAAACCAACACCCGCCTCCCCTCTCCCCATTGATGCCATATTCACTGGATCGCTTTGTTTCACACCACTGACGTCTACTTCAGACGATGAGGAAGAGAGTGTCTCCCCTCCTCCTGTGGCTGCCCGTCGCAAGTTCGACGATGAGGAAGAAGACGACGTAAGTTCATTTTTTTCCCTTCCTTTGTCTCTGTATCTCCCCGTGCTCCTTGTCTGAGGCTTCGCTATGACAATACTTTGGCTTTGACGATCACGCTCTCAGCTCCTGATTATTGTGTCACCGCAAAAGAGGGGGTATCTACAAGACTGGAAATGATCAAGCGCTAACGGGAGTATAATGCCTAGGTCCTCGACTCGTGGGACGCCGCCGAAGACTCCGAAGTAGAAAGAGAGAAGGCCGCCAAGGCTGCTGAGGCCAAGGCCAAGGCCGAAGCCGAAGCCGCTGCCAACAAGAAGAGCAAAGCCCAGCGGATACAGGAACACAAAGCAACGCGGAAGGCGCAGGCCGACGCCTCAAGCGACGAGGAGAGCGAGGAGGACGAAGCCGAGCGGAGAGCCCGCCTCCGTAAGACGGAGAAGGATTCCGACCTGAAGCACGCCGAGGATCTGTTTGGCGACATAGACCTCAATCGCATGCGCAACCGTGGCGCCCCCAAGGCCATCGTCATCGGCGACTCGGCCGACCCTACCCAGGCGATTGATTTGTCGGCCATGCCTTTGTTTAAGCCCACCACTAAGGATCAATTCGCTCAGCTCACCTCGACTCTGATCCCTCTGTTGACTGCGCACTCCAAGAAGCCCCAGTATGCCTTGTGGGCTCAGGAATTTGTCAAGCAGCTGGCCAAGGAATTGCCTAGCGGTGATGTCAAAAAGATGGCCTCTGGTCTGACAACGCTCAGCAATGAGAAGATGAAGGAGGAGCGCGCCGCTGACAAGGGTAACAAGAAGACCAAAGCCGCCAAGACCAAGGTGTCACTCGTCGCTGCCAGAGACAACCACATTGATTCCAACTCTTATGATGGTGACGGCTTGGATGACGATGACTTCATGTAATTATCGAAACTTGCCGTGGCCCTTCTCCTTACTCCATCCTTCCCACTATTTTCTTTCCATCTCTTGTGCATTCTCCTCAGCTTTTCAGCTAGACCGGCCTTGACTTGTCTCTCATGTGCTCCTTTTCTGTATATTCGGTATAAAATTATCTCCATGTTGTCAACACCCTATTATCATTTTGTCCCCTTGGCCTTGCGGTCCTGCTTCTGGTAACATATCGTTTCTTGCACTTACACATAGAATTTGAGTCCGTTGTAGTCGCATTTGTCCAGGGAAATGATCGGCTCTACATTGGAGTAAACATTTTACTGAGAATGGGCCCCTATGGTCATGAGGAATACGCGCCCCATGCGGATTTGATAAATACTGCTGAGGTGGTGATAGATGAAGCTGTCGACTGCTATGTGTATTTTCGACATAAAAGAACTCAGTACAGGGAGCTACCAGAAAGCCTTTCTGGATGAAGGGGTCCAAGGGACCGATTACTCTGGTCGAGATTGAGAACCTCAGGACTCTTGGCATTGTGCGAACGAAGAAACAAGGGGGAAAAGGGGCGCAGTGAATCAGGAACCGGAAATAAGACATTGTATCTTGCTGGAGTGGGAATAAAGAGAGAATAAAAGAGAGATAAATTCCACTCAGCCCCTTTTCGTCGCGCTCCAAATATCAAACTCCGCCGACCGACCCACACGATCCCGAAACAGTGGAAGACATGTGCCGGTCTAAATCAGTCACGCACTCAAAGCAGACCGTCATAAGCACTTCCAGATACTAGTCGTACGTTCCAAGCAGGCACGCCGATGACACAGCACGAGAGGTTTTTGATACAACAAGGAAAGGATCCGTCGCTCAGGATTCAGGGGCAGCAGGCTGGGTCTCCTCAGCTTTATCCTCAGAGGCAGCAGCGGCCTCCTCCTCGGGCTTGTCCTCTCTGGGAGCGGCAGCGCCCTCGGCCTCGTTGCCATCAGAAGAGGTCCACAGGGTCAAGTTGTCACGCAGGAGCTGCATGATCAGAGTGCTGTCACGGTAGCTCTCCTCGGAGAGGGAGTCAAGCTCGGCAATGGCGTCATCGAAAGCCTGCTTGGCAAGGTGGCAGGCACGGTCGGGGGAGTTAAGGATTTCATAGTAGAAGACGGAGAAGTTCAGGGCAAGACCCAGACGGATAGGGTGGGTGGGAGTGAGATCGGTCTGGGCAACATCGGTAGCGTTCTATTATGAAGCATCAGTACGACTGATCTTCAGGCAGGCAGCTGGGTGGTTGAAGGATACCTTGTAAGCCTCGTGTGCAGCGGTAGCGGCAACCTTGCGCTTGTTGCCAGAGGCGAACTCGGCGAGATAGCGATGGTAGTCACCCTTCCTGCGAATTGCAAATACATTAGCCGCTGGGCAACCGCGATACCAGCTTCGCCCTCTGCAAGCAAGACGCTTACATTTTGTAGTAAAAGACCTTGGACTCGCCAGTCTCGGCCTTGGGGATGAGGGACTGATCCAAGACATCAAGAACGTCCTGGCAGACCTTCTCGAGTTCGGTCTCAATCTTCTGGCGATAATCACGGATGATGGAAACGTGCTTCTCAGAGCCCTTGGTTTCCTCCTTCTGCTCAATGGAGGAAATGATGCGCCAGGAGGCACGGCGGGTACCGACCACGTTCTTGTAGGCAACGGAAAGAAGGTTACGCTCGTCGACGGAAAGCTCGCCTCCGATCTGATGCGGGGTCAGCCAGACGGACAAAAAGGGGGAAGATCACGAAGAGTCCTCGACAATCGAAGGGAGGAATTGCATACGTTGGCGACTTCCTGTCAGATACTTAGTAACCACAAACGCTTCCAATAGTCAGAGTCGAAGACATTACTCACCTTCATGTACGTGACCATCTCTATAGACGGGTAGCGATCAGCACGTCTAGTCGATACCACTTAGGGACTGACATTGACAATCTTACCATCGTAGCGCTCAGCCTGCTCGCAAAGGCGAGCGAGAAACGTCTTGCTAATGGGAGGGAGAAACTGTGAGTTGTTGCATAGGGTTGTTGCTGGAGACGGGTCTGGATCCTTACCTCTCACGCTGCAGGTAAAGGGGGGAGAACGAGTTAGCAAACAATCCAGTCGCATGCGAGAAGGTAAGAGACCGGGGATTAAAACGTATAGGCGACAAGAACACATAGCAAGAGCTAGGAATATTGTGGCCAGTACTGATGCTTATCATCCAGACCATAGGGGAGAGGGGTCAGGCTAGGGGGGTGGGAGGGGGGCATGGGGGGACAACATACCTCAGAAGTCATACTTGGCGACTTGACACAGATTAGAAGGTTGCAAACGGAGTTGGGTGGTTCAAAAGCAGCCAGCAGGGCAGTAAGATGAAAGCTTGAAGGTCCGAGTAGAGTACGGAAAAGAGAGAAATGGGATGGAATGAAGATGGAATCACGAGAGGTTTCGCAGATTGGTCTTCACAGCAACGAGCGATGGACGGTGAAGGTGACGACCGGCCAGCTTTAGCGAGAAGCGGGCGCCTCGCGTTTGCTATGTTTGCTTCTCTCTGGCCGCCTGAGGCAGCAGACCGCACCTGACCATGGTCACGCGCTCTACGGTCACATGCTCTGATCTGTTTGTCACGGGACTGGGAGGATTAGGTACTGTACAGTACATCGCGGCGGTAGATAAGTTATTCTAGAGTCAATAGTCATGACTCGTTTCTGGTGCAAACAATACATTATCTCCGCCTGAACCAAACTCTACGGCGGGAAGCACTCTTTTGTATATGCTGTGGAATACGATGCACATCAGCCAGTACGAAAGCCCGTGTTATACTCTATCCCTAGAACACAATCGTTGAAGAGCGTTCTGAACTGGGAATTGCCGCGCAACCATATTTAACGTCAACTACAAGGAATTTAGGGTGTTCCCACATGCACGAAACAATATTGTCTGCCAATACTGTTAATAGAGGTGCATACAACATGCCGCGGCCATAGTCAATATGACCACTTACAGACAAACGACTTTGTCTGGGCCGATTCTCCACCAACGTTCTGTTTACGGTGCAGCTGGGCCAAATGCCCGCCATTGAAGCGAACTCTGGCGCCTCGATTCGTGCCTTCATTGAGTACATTTCGAAGGTGTGAAGCCGGTGAAGCACAGTCGAGAGGAAGACCCCATATGAGATCAAGCTTGGTCCAGCGAGGAAGGAACTCGGACCCTCTGGCCTTCTGCCCTACAAGGTAAAGGCAAAAGGACACTGCACTTTCTTTCCAGCCGGAGAAGGCCCCGCCACTGAGAGAGAGCATTGAGTCTGGGTCCAGGACCCAGTGCGCACTTGAAAGTGCGAAGCTGCGAATACACAAATAAGACTCGGCAAGCAGAAAGATCGTCTATAGGTATGCTACAGCCCACCCCCAATTCCGGATTCCCAGCCCTAGGAGACAGGGCCATGATGGAGCAGATGTATCTTTCTTATAAGTACGGAGTAGGTTCAAGGCATCATCGTTTCAGGGTGGAGCGCCTGCTTTGAATGGTTCGGTGGTTGGTTGAGCTGAGCTCTAGTAACGTATTGTACTCGTCTGAGTGGAGGCAGACCGAATGCTGGCTTGGGGTATGGTACTGTTAACAGTATCATCACGGTATGTCAATCACTCTAAGCATAATCGCGGTGGGATATGAATTGCTGCTGGATTGAAGGGGGAAGTGCTCTGTGCCTTGAGTTGTGAGCATTTATTAGCAGGTCCCAATGTTTAATTACGCAGTACCATCCATTGATTAGCAGAGCCCCTGAGTTTCCAAGCGAAGGTAACTACAAGAACAGGCCGAAGGCTATGGCCCTCTGCTGGCTGAAGCACCAGGGCGAGGATGGTATGGTATGGTTCAGCCCTGCCGGTTTGGTATCGGCAATTGTGACGCCGCGCCGACCGGGGACCGAATGGAAAAAGACTGGATCCAGCCATTCCAGCCAGACACAAACGCCCGCCAAGGAGAACACGTTGAAAGTGCCTGAGGGGACCAGTACCACTAAACCACCTACCTATTATCTGCCATCACCCTCCACCTCTCTCTTTCTCTCTAATTAGTAGTCTACGTTGGTTATATTATGCTACGAAATAGTCACTAGTCTCCTATCCCATCCGCTAATGTGCCCTCGTGTTATTATGAGAACGCGTATCATTGGATCCTATCATCCTACCCTGCGGCTCTCTCGCATATATTAGAGTATTAGTATTTGCACCCACGGACCTAGGAGGTATTTTCCAGATCCTTCCCCTTCCCGGGTTAGGACTTATTTAACTTATCACTCACTAAGCTCCAGGGTTTCTGGCCACTTGGCGTTCATGTCTTGATCTGGGTTATATCCCCGATTTCCACCTTCTTTCCACCCCCCCCGCCTCTTCTCCCAACTTCACCTTTTTTTTTTTTCCCTCTCTCTTCTTCTCTTCCTTTTTCTTCCTTCCCTCCTTGCTCCAACTCTTGGTCACCCTCACAGATTACTGGGGGCTCTTACCAACATGGAGCAATCATACCTCTCTTCCCCAGCGGAAGTGCTGGACCATTTCAAGGTTACAGAAAGTTCCGGCCTGTCGCAGGATCAGGTTGTGGAAGCCAGACAGAAGCATGGCCCCAATGGTATGTTATCACATTCTCCGTGGTCGATACACTGTCAGAAGCTGGTCCTTTCAGAGCAAGCTGACCTCGACCTTGTCACCTAGCCCTCGCGGAAGAGCCACCAACGCCTCTCTGGCAACTTGTCGCAGAACAATTTAAAGATCAGTTGGTTCTCATTCTTTTGGGCTCCGCTGCTGTGTCTTTCGTCCTGGCTCTCTTTGAAGAAGGTGACGACTGGTCAGCCTTCGTTGACCCTGTTGTGGTATGTTATCGGGGACTTCTTATGCGAGCCCGTGTCAATGGAGGTTACTAACAACTGCTGTACACTAGATCTTAACTATTTTGATTCTTAATGCTGTGGTTGGTGTCACCCAAGAAAGCAATGCCGAGAAGGCTATCGCTGCCCTTCAAGAATATTCCGCCAATGAAGCTACGGTGGTTCGTGATGGCAAAACCCAGCGTGTCAAAGCGGAGGATCTGGTTCCTGGAGATATTGTTCACGTCGCGGTGGGAGACCGTGTCCCGGCAGATTGCAGACTGCTCGCTATTCATAGCAACAGTTTCCGAGTTGACCAGGCAATTCTTACTGGCGAGAGCGAAAGTGTTGCCAAAGATGCTCGTGTCATCCAGGACCAGCAAGCGGTCAAGCAAGATCAAGTCAACATGCTTTTCTCCGGTACAACAGTAGTCAATGGACATGCAACGGCTATCGTTGTCCTGACGGGTGGATCGACAGCTATTGGTGATATTCATGAGAGTATCACCTCCCAGATCTCTGAGCCGACTCCTCTGAAGCAGAAGCTGGACGACTTCGGCGACATGTTAGCCAAGGTGATTACTGTCATTTGTGTCCTTGTCTGGATCATCAATATTGAGCACTTTAACGACCCGTCTCACGGTGGCTGGACTAAGGGAGCCATTTACTACTTGAAGATTGCGGTGTCACTAGGCGTGGCAGCTATTCCGGAAGGTCTGGCGGTGGTAATCACCACATGTTTGGCTCTTGGTACTCGCAAGATGGCTCAGAAAAACGCGGTCGTCCGTTCACTTCCGTCAGTGGAGACACTAGGTAGCTGCAGTGTGATCTGCTCCGACAAAACCGGCACCTTGACTACGAACCAAATGAGCGCAGAGAAGATTGTTTATCTCAACGAGACTGGCACTGGCGTCGAGGAACTCGACGTTGAAGGTACCACTTTCGCTCCGGAAGGTAGAATTTCCCGCCAGGGCAAGGAGCTGCAAGACATTGCGGTTTCCTCGTCTACCATTCGGCAGATGGCGGAGGTTATGGCTCGCTGCAACAGCGCAACCCTCGCCCACGATGCTAAGACCGGCGCTTTCTCTTGCATCGGCGAGCCTACTGAAGGTGCTCTTCGCGTGTTGGTCGAGAAGATCGGCACTGAGGACTCTGCTGTCAATGCTAAATTGTTCCCTCGTCCTGCTTCCCAAAGACTTCATGCCGCCAGTGCCCATTACGAAGCCCGCTTGTCCCTCAAGGCGACTTATGAATTCTCTCGTGATCGGAAAAGTATGTCGGTTCTTGTCGATACTGGCAAAGAACAAAAGCTCCTGGTTAAGGGTGCACCGGAGTCCATCTTGGAGCGTTGCTCTCATGCCCTTCTCGGTGCTACTGGACAGCGCGTCTCTCTGGTAAAGGATCATTTGGATCGCCTTTCCGAAGAACTGGTCGGATATGGAAATCGTGGTCTCCGCGTAATCGCACTCGCTAGCGTGGACAATGTTGGCACCAACCCCCTGCTGTACAACGCCAAATCTACGGACGACTACGCTCAGTTGGAACAGAAAATGACTCTTATCGGCTTCGTTGCGATGTTGGACCCTCCACGTGTGGAAGTTGCTGCCTCGATTAGAAAGTGCAAGGAGGCTGGTATCCGTGTGATCGTTATCACTGGTGACAATCGCAACACGGCCGAGTCCGTTTGCCGTCAAATCGGTGTCTTCGGAGAAGATGAGGATCTAAAGGGTAAAAGCTTCACCGGAAGGGAATTCGATAGCCTATCGTACAACGAGAAACTCGAAGCGGTCAAGACTGCGTCGCTGTTTTCACGTACCGAGCCTAGCCACAAGTCCAAGCTTGTTGATCTCCTGCAGTCCCTTGGCCATGTTGTCGCGATGACCGGAGACGGTGTCAACGACGCTCCGGCTTTGAAGAAATCAGACATTGGCGTCGCCATGGGTACAGGAACTGACGTTGCTAAGCTTGCCGCTGACATGGTCCTGGCTGACGATAACTTCGCGACTATCACCGTGGCTGTTGAAGAAGGGCGTTCAATTTACAGCAACACTCAACAATTCATTCGGTACCTTATCTCATCGAACATTGGTGAAGTCGTGTCCATCTTCCTGACTGCAGCCCTGGGCATGCCAGAGGCTCTGATCCCTGTGCAGCTTTTGTGGGTCAACTTGGTCACCGATGGTCTGCCGGCTACGGCTTTATCTTTCAACCCCCCTGATCATGATGTCATGAAACGCGCCCCTCGCAAGCGTGATGAACCCTTAGTTGGCGGCTGGCTCCTTTTCAGATACATGGTGATCGGTACCTACGTGGGTGCCGCTACTGTCTTTGGCTATGTCTGGTGGTTTGTGTACAATCCCGAAGGGCCTCAAATATCGTTTTGGCAATTGGTAAGAAGCGCGCCCCCAGCTCCCCTCAACATCGCTTGACTGACCCTCTCCTCTCGTGTCAGTCTCATTTCCACAAGTGCTCGTCCCAGTTCCCAGAGATCGGGTGTGAGATGTTTACCAACGATATGTCGCGCTCCGCATCTACCGTGTCGCTTTCGATTCTCGTCGTGATTGAAATGCTCAACGCCATGAACGCTCTTTCCTCCAGTGAATCACTCTTCACATTCGGCCTGTCGAACAATCCGATGCTGGTATATGCAATCATTCTCTCCATGTCATTGCACTTTGCTATTCTCTATGTTCCTTTCTTGCAGGGCCTGTTCTCCATCGTACCCTTGGATTGGATTGAATGGCAGGCCGTCCTGGTTATCAGTGCCCCTGTTATGTAAGTGCCTCTCCTTTCCCTTTCCATGTCATTGCTTCTCTGACCAGATCTAGTATCATCGATGAGGTTCTGAAGGTGATGGAGCGCCGGCTGTACAACAACCTCCCTGCCGTTGCACGCGTGGAACAGAATGGCAAGCCCAAGAGGGCGTGAGGAGCTGAACGATGAAATGATGACTGAGATCTCGGTGGTTGCGTTGATGATATATAGATTTCTTGTCCCTCCATACGCTTCGTGTTTGTTGTTTTCGCCGTTGGGCAGTTGATGGCATATACCTATAACTTTGGCTGGTTTGGACGTATAGAGAAAGATGCCGATGATGTCTACAGCGAAGAGCCTAGCGAAGTCTTGTTTCATGAATTTTATGGACCCTAAACCTAGACTTTGTCCTGTTTGATCATTGGCAGTCAAGACTATCGCGGGTGGCCTGGATATGTAGTAATTATTTTCTTCTTGCTAGGTAGACCATACAGTAACTGGGTATCGATGAAGGAACTAAAGAAACTAAAGGGACTAAAGGGACTAGTTAAGGACTAGTCAGTTAAAGCCAACTCTGACAAACATTGATCGGATGGATCATTTGTTCAACCCCACCCTAACTTTTGCGGAGAAAAATCCGGGGTTTGCCGCGGCTCATGCAATCTGTCTGGAATGTATGTGGCCATGGCAATGATCACTAGCACGGGGAAAGGGGACTAATTTGAGAAGAGACCTGGGCTAAAAGATGCACCATAATAGCCTAAAAGCCTTGGTTGGATATATGCCTGTCTGGCTGTCTCACGGCGTTGTGGCTTTCTGTATACCCCTCTCCCTCTCTCTCTCCCCCATTCTCCCTCTTCCATTGCCTCTCCCAATTGTTCCCCAGAATTGCTTTTATTCTTCTTCTTTCTTTCTTCTTTCTTCGTGGCTCTCGCTTTCCCCCTCCTTCTTGCCATCTTTCTTCTCGTCTGTATATGCTGTTTATACTTCAACCAACCAAATGGGAGTCATACGCTTCCTGAAGACCCGGACGGGATTCAGGGTCGACAATAGCCAAACTACATCGGCTGCCGCTCTCACCTTGCGCCAGAGCATTTGGCCCTTAACCCTCGTCACGATTCTCTTTTTTCTATGGGTGAGCACCGCAGAGCAAGGTGGACTCGTCGTGGCGTTCGCTGCTCATTTATTTTTATAACTGTAGGGGTTCGCCTATGGGTTACTCGATACTCTCAATAAACATTTCCAGAACACGATGCACATCACTCGTACACGCTCTTCTGGGCTTCAGGCGGCTTATTTCGGGTCAGAACCTCCCTTGCATTCTACGTCTTCTATAAAACTAGGATCGTTCAGTTAACAGCCACAAGGGCCTATCCGCTGGCGTCCCTGGGCTATGCGAACTACATGCTCCGTCATTTCGGCTACAAGACTGTGTTTATTTTCGGACTGACTTTGTATGGTATTGGCGCTCTTTGTATGTGGCCTGCAGGTTTGAATCGTTCATTTGGGGGATTCTGCGCAGCCACCTTTGTCATCGGCTCAGGCTTGGGGTCCTTGGAGACGGCTGCTAACCCATACATAACTGGTGAGTTGAATTTTTGCGGATAGGGTGAGCGAGGAATGTTTCACTAAAGCCGCTTGTCTAGTCTGTGGCCCACCCAGATATGCTGAGATCCGAATCAACCTTGCCCAGGCTTTCAATGGCATAGGAACCTGCGTGGCGCCAGTACTTGCCTCATATGTCTTCTTCACCTCCGTTGACGACGATGTCAATGCCCTAAAGCGTGTTCAGTGGGTTTATCTTGCCATTGGCATCTTTGTATTTGTCCTCGCGGGCATCTTCTTCATCTCTACGATTCCCGAAGTGACCGATGAAGACATGGCCTTTCAGGTCGCCGAGACACACGTGGACGAACAGGAGAAACCGCTATGGAAGCAATATAAGCTCTTCCACGCCACATTGGCGCAATTCACCTATACCGGCGCACAAGGTATGCCTTACAAGACTCTAATAGATAACATGGCCTCGAACTTACAAACTAACTTTCCTGTACAACGTCAGTCGCTATTGCCAGCTACTTCATCAACTACGTCACAGAGACATGGCCCGGCACTTCCAGTGCCACGGGCTCTAAGTATCTAGCCGGTGCCCAGGGAGTGTTCGCTGTTGGCCGCTTCGTCGGTGCTATCCTCATGAGATTTGCCAAGGCTCGCTGGGTATTCTTGGTCTACCTCTCATGCACTGTTGCGTTCATCGCGGCTTCTACCACGCAACAGGCCCGGACAGGCGTCGGTACGAGACTTCTCTCCTTGTACCCACTTCACACGCATATATACACACATACACATCGAGAAGAAATCCCCTGCCCTTCATTGTCTCCCACATTTCCATGCAACCCTACCTACCGCTTTCTCTCCATCCCTGCCCTTTTCTTCCGGTCCGACCCCGTCGTGTGGAAACAAACCAATTGACAAACCAATCCCCAGCAATGCTCTTCTGTACCCTTTTTTTCGAATCAGTATGTTTCCCCACCATCGTTGCCCTCGGCATCCGCGGCCTGGGACGACACTACAAGCGCGGCTCCGGGTTCATCATTGGCGGCGTCAGTGGCGGTGCTGTTGTGCCCCCGATTCTCGGCCATGTGGCGGATATGCGGAATAGTACGGGCTTTGCCATGATCGTGCCGACTATGTTCATGGTCGTTGCCTGGACGTATGCCGTTGCAGTCAACTTTGTGCCTGCATACAGCGAAACGGTCGACAAGGTCGGCGCCAGTGATATTGGGCTTCGGGAGGAGAATGTTACGCCAAAGGATATCGAGGAGGCGGCCACAGCCAAAATCGGGTAGGGGTGTGAGATGAAGTCTCTGCTCGAGAGTAGATGCAGCGTGATCATATTCTCGTTGACATGGGCCTAATCTCGCTCTAGTTGAATGTTCCTTCTCGCCTATTGATTTATGGCTATATTGTTTCAATCTGTATTTTGGGGGTTTGTTCATTTCCGGCATGACTACAGTAACCTTAACTCCAACCTTTACCGAAGGAGAAGAATATCCTAAGCGTCTAGAAATGCTTCGTGCCTGTTCTACCGGCCTCATGAGCCTCAGTCTGACTATTGCCAAGATGTATGGACAGACAAGCTGAATATATACGGACAGCTGGATGTCTCTAAGGTGATTGCGGATCCAGCAGAAACTTAGGGGACAGATGGTGTTTGACAAGGGAGGTAGGCAGGTAGATAGGTATAATAAAATAAAACATTAGAATACAAATGAAAATTTGCGCGAGGTGCGTGATAAGATATGACTTGGGATGTGCCCCGAAAATGAAAAATCGGTCCTCTCTAAGATCAAAAGTCTGAACAGCAAGACAAAGAAAGGAGGACTTCAGTGCAGAAGAGTACAGTACCTTCCCAGCCCGGTTCATCATCGCGTTGCGCAACCCGTAAATCGAAATTTGTCCAAAAGTCCTAGCACCGTAGAGACGCAAAAGGGGGTATAAATAAGGTGAAATGTGTCAAAAGAACAGATTGAATTGGAACGTGTCAAGGTGACTCGAGTAATACCCAACCGCCATTGCTCGGAGGACCCAGAGAGTCGTTTTGCAGGAAGGGCTGTCTCATAGAATTTCGCGTTGTACACGAGCATGTCTATTCAGTGACAATTGAAAATGGCGGCGTTGTTAATGAAGACGAGCGTGGTGGGCGAGAACTAGAGTCAAAGTCCGGAGCGGGGGCTAGAACCGGTTTGCGAGTGGGTTCAGGAAGCGATCCGTCCGTATGTTCATGGCCACGGTAATCACCCGATGTCGCCCTATCAACTGGCGAGCCTGGATCATCCTCTAAGCCGCTAAAGGTATCCACTTCTTCAACGTCGTCTTCCAAATCTTCCTCTTCCTCAATAATCTGGCTCTTCCTTGCCGCAGGCCGGACAGGACCTGCGATCACGGAACTCTCAGCATAATCCACATGGGAATAATTTGAAGCAGCCACGCCGCCAGATACCATCAGGTTAGCAGTATGGATCATGGGGCCTTTGAATGCGGATCGCTTGCGGCGGGCGAATACAAGACTTGAAGAGGGCGAATAAAGTAGCGGCGCCGGGGCTGCCTCGTTGAACACTGTGTGAAGTCTTCCGTTGTGGTCGTCCAGGTCGCGAATTCCGGCGTGCGTCCCTCGAACTAAGCGAATGTTGCTCGGAAAACGAGCAGAGGCACTTGGCGTCGTGGGCAGGACTTTTACAGAAGAATGAGGTGATTTAGTGATCCGAGCGGTCGGTGTGGAGGCCGATCCGATGCTGTTCGAGGAAACGGACGAAGCTTTCGAATGTGTATGAGTATGATGAATGCTGCGAATAGAAGAGACAGAAGAGGATGTCGATTTGCGTCCACGTAAGCCTGCAGACGATCGTCGGTAAGACCCCCTCGGGGTAATCGGAGAGGGTGATAGGGAATTCCTATGGGGTTGGCTTGTGCTCAGGGGCCGAGGTTGCCGGGGGAAAGAGTGACGATGGTTTGGATAGGAGGCACTGCTAGGAGCCAGACTGCTAGCATTCGATGAACGCTTCACCTGTGTTGGTGTCAACAAGTCGCTTTGGTGCCCAGCGGCCGCAGATGAAGATGTTGGTTTTTTGCCAGCCTCTTGACCCTTTCCCGGGCTTAGCCTCTCCGAGAGAAATTTGCGATGCCCACCTTGTGCACCTGTAGTCTTTGCGTGTGGCGATTTGGCCCTCTTTGCAGATTCCACAAACCAGTGCTTAAGGGATGCTAGCTGGCTTATGATTGGGTACTGACGGCGACCAGTGCGCCTTCTGAAGAGACCGTTGTGTTGCGCCAGCTCTGGTTGCGAGGCGCTCGCATGTAATGTACTTGGTCGCCGGGCTTGATCCTTTGGAGGCGGCAACGGACGATGTCGAGTCGAGCTGGCGGAGCGTACTGAATCTTTATCGATAGGCGGAGGAGGCGTGCCGGAGTCGGGAGAATGCACAGGAACTGGCTCTGGGAGCATAGGCAGCTCGGGTACAGCCAGCTGAGATGGCAAGCTACGCCTGTTCCTCCGCCCACGCTCCTGGAGGGGGCCATCAGAGGATGCGTGCCCCTCCTCATCAACTTCGACCAAAGCTGCAGAAATCTTCTCCAAGCGACTGCTTGTTGCGCTGAGACGACGAATGTTTTTGGCCTCAGCTTCACGTTCACGGCGCTTACGCTCTCTCTTGCGTTCTTTGCGTTGCTCTTTCTCTATTAGCAGTGCCCACCAGCCGGCGAGGGGGTCGCATCGTTGTGAGAGAACGCTCTCCACAATCTCATCGATATTCAAGCCTGCACTTTTCATCCGCTGCAGAGTTGTCTTTTCAAGTGGAGTCGAAAACGGTGCTGGGCGTGGGATCTTCAAAATCGCCAGCTGTTCCGAAGCATGCTCAGCGAGAAATGGGTGCCCGAGGATCTCATCCAAACTCGGCCGGATCAAAGGCCGCTTTGACAAGAGCAGGCTGATGAGGGCTTTAGCATCATCGGGGAACTTTTCATTATACACCGGTTCTTCGTTGAGAATGCGGGCCTTGGTGACTTGGTCATCGTCGTCATCGAATGGTAATTCCCCAGCAAGCAGTGCGTATAGAATGATCCCTAGGCTCCATACATCCACTTTTTCGCCAGCATATTTCTCGCCTTTCAGCATCTCGGGGGCGCTATAGCATACTGTGCCACAGAAAGTCTGCAAATAGCTCGCCTTCCCTTCATACTCTCTTGTGAATCCAAAGTCACAGAGCTTGACATTTTCGTGCTTGTCGAGTAAGATGTTCTCTAGCTTGAGATCGCGGTGAACACAAGATTTGCTGTGGACATACGCCACAGCCCCGACCAATTGTGTGAAAATTTTCTTGACTTTGTCATCAGGGAGTGGGCCATGCTGGAGGAGATGATTGTACAGCTCATCACCTATTCATGTCAGAGTTTGCCGACGGCAATGCAGTCCAGTTTCAACATACCTGGGCAATATTCCAGAACCAGCCAAACCAACTTTTCTGTCACAATGACTTCATAGAGGCGGGCAATATGAGGGTGAAGAAACTGACGGTGATGGTGAATCTCGCGCGCCAGGTTCCTGTCCTCCTTATTCGATGACTTAAGTACGACCTAAGCAAAGTATGCCTTAGATCAACTCCATGCAACGTCCATATAGTAAACAAGACCTACCTTGGAACCATTGGTCAACTTATGAGAGGCAAGGTAGACCTTGCCAAAGGAACCTTTTCCTATCAACCGCCCGAGGGTATAATTCCCTACAGTCCGGAGGTCCTTCGAGGAAAACTCCCTGTAGACGACAAATCTTCTTAGCAACGGTGGCAATCCTTGGCAAGACAGGTACTCACTCTAATAACTCATTGTATGAGTGGGCAAGCTGTTATGCGCGTGGAGTCCTGATTAGTGCCATGGACCAGTTTGTACGATATAGGGGGAGTGCGTGCTAACAACGCGAAGCATATGTTATAACAGCTTTTCATGCGCATAATGTATTGCCATCAAAGCGAACATGGGGCAGGCATGCCAGAAGAAAACAAGCATACCTTCTCCTTTTGTTTCTGGGCTTGGACCTCCGCTCTTGTCCTAGGAGGTGGCATGTGTTTCAAGATTTTTATCTCCGCCTGGCGGGGAAAAGTCCGCGGAGGTGAGAATTCGCGAAATTTATGTCGAGACGCTTTCTAAATCTAGACTGCCAGTAGATCCATCCAGCAGGTTATTTAAAGCGAGAAAAATTGCACCGATATTGACAGTGAGGACGAGGCTGGCGCGGCGGAGGAGGGAGAAACAGATCGGAACTCGGGACTGATACGGAGGAGAGTGTGGATGATGCGGATCAAGGAGGCGTAGATTCAGCGCAGTAGATATACCTGACGAAGGAAAGCTATGAATCGAGGTTGAAGAGGAGTGTACGACGAATCCCAACGCTTTGTTCCGCCGCAGCTGGTATGGTAGAATTGAAGTGCAGAAAATTGAAAGAAAAAAAAAAAGAAAGGAAGGAAGTAGCTGGATCAATATCCGCACAAGCCGAAAGCTGCTGGGAGCACGGAGATCAAGATGGATGACGATATAGGCTAAGAAAGAAAGACAAGACGTTAGCCACGCTGGAAGTCACCAGTGTATAAGGAACTGGTAGTGTAACAACCAGGGAGAGAAGCACTAGCCAACGGTAGGGAGGAGGATATTTACTGGATCACTTGTTGGAGAGGAGCAATTGTGTCAGGCAAACACATACCACACAAGGTACCAGTTAGTTACTAGCGCAATATCTGGAGGGGGTTGCAAGGTCAAAAGGGGAGTGGCAGAGGATGTAAAGCTGGTTTGGATGCACCAAGTCCCAAATAGCGGGGGGTTTAGTCCAACATCGGATTTTCGAAAAGGAGGGACAATATAATTAATGGTAGGGAAGGAAAGAATCAAGAGTGGGTGGTCTAATTGGGGTGGGAGGGGAGGGGGGAAAAGAGACACCGAGAGAGAGAGGGAGGGAGGGAGGGAGAGAGAGAGAGGGTGGGCGAGAGGCACTGACGACAGCAGGCAGGGGCATGTGTGCATAAATGATGATTAAGACCCTTTCACAATCGGGTCTCATACTCAACATCGAATTAGGTTGGATCTATACATGAATACAGTCTGGAAATTCTCAAGTGATTATATCACCCAAAGATCGGGATATCAACTTGACTGATCCGTCCAAGTCCTGTTCAAACTCGTGCTGCTTGTCTTAGATATCAAAGACATCTCCGCTCACCAACTATGGACGGGATGATAATGATGATGGCAGATGGAAGGAGTGTTTATTCTTAGCCGCCCGCCACAAATTTAGCCGTGGGGGAACGTGGGCCGCTGGTGTCATGATTCATCATACCTTCAATTATTATGTGACCCTCTTAACTCGCAAGTATACATGGTATACATGATATCTCAGTTTCTCCTCCATTTGATGACTTTCCCTTCTGTCTCTCTCCCTTTCCCAAATCATAGTCAAACCGGAAAACGATCTAATGTCAACCGTCCCGTATCTGAACCCGGCAACGGGCGTAAAAGACTTAGGCTAGTCTCGTTTAGTCTAGTCTCTGGTTACCTCACCATTGGACCCCTGAAGCCATACCGCTTTTAATCATCATCTTACTTATCATCATCATCATCGCCGCCGCCGCCGCCGTCCGCAACGGGCTGCACGGAAATTTCACCTGACACGAGTCTGATTTTCCTCTCCCTGACTAAAAATCCACTAACTAATCCAAGCAGTAACAACATCACACCCACCTCCTCACTTTGGCCTAAATCATCTTGATGGACAAATACCTATCTAGTAGAATAAGTATTCATTACTCCGCACACGCATTTCCAACCTAAACCAGTATGACAATAAACAGAGTTCCCCCGCAATAGTCCCGTTCCCACTTGCCATGAATTTCTTATGGGCACTGATCGTGATGATGATTGCATCCTGCTGGTGACATATTATTAAGACTTCAAGCGACCCAAGAAAATGTTCGAGGATCACGTGAGTGTGCTGGAACAAGCGCACGGGGACTCGTTCATTAGTACATATATCACCCAAATGAAGTAGAAAGCCGAAAAGAAGGGGGTATCGTCTTTAAACAATAAAAAATCCCGTCCGCTGGTCTATCACACACTGGCTCAAACATTTCCTCGCCACCAGGGAAGGGAGTGCAAGTGGTCCACTGCCCGCTGGCTGATGCACAACGCTGGATCGACCGAGCCCAGTCCTTGTTCGCCTTGAAACGCGAGGGCAACTAGGCCAAAGTAAGAATGTAGAAGATCTGCAGTGCGGTCGCAAGTTAGCACAAAGCAACCAGCATTTTTGCATATGTCAATCGCACCTGGTGGTTCCCCTACGCCTTTCCCAAACCCCCCAATGATGTGCTGCGTCTTGTCCAAAAGATATCGGTGGTTCCGATCCGCGTCGACCAAAGATAACCGGTCCACCATCTGTGCGCGATAGTCAGATCAAATATCGTCCTTCAATCAACCAATTATCGGAACACCCACAACCAGAGTTGCTAGATTCCAGAAGGAATAACATGTATCGGCATATTTGTTGCATCGGCCATTGAAGCCGGCCCACCGTAATGACGCCTCTGTGGGCAACAACAGAGCAGGCAGTTCGTCCACCTCCGCATCCAGGTCAGCTTCTTCGACTGCCACTGTCGGTAATGGCTTGTGACACTGGCTGATCTCGATTTGTTCGTCGCCCTCGTCGAAATCTTCCTCCACTTCACCAAGCTCTGCCGTCTGTCTAGAGACTAACCATCGGACCAAAGTCTCAAACTCTGTAGCACCAGGTGAGAGAACTGCCGGCAGATGTTGATTCGTCACCATGCGACTCAGAAATGACAGAGTGCCAATGGCGCAATATGTATGGCCAGCTGTAATCGCCATCAGTTAAATAATTGCTAGAAAGGGAGAGAACTCGAACGTACAATGTGCTTCGCAAAACGGGGCTTCTCCCATTCCGCCATCATAAGCCTGTGAATACCCTCGGATCAGCGGGTGCTTTTGCAGACCGCACGCAAGGCACGCTTGAGCTGTGTGGGAGGAGAATCGCAAATAGGTTTCGGAAGCCTAACCTGACAAGCCTGAACAAAGGTTGCTAATTTGGTAACGTCGATATCCCGCAGCCCTTGTATATCTGCGCCATCTTTCCCTCGTAGGATATATCTCGTCCCTGCCGCGCAGCAGCAGAACCGTAGATCTCCACCTCCCTCAATCTTGCCTCCTGGCCCCAGCACTTCGCCGAAACTCCCGTTCTCACGCTGTAACTGGGGGAGCCACCGCAGGCACTCCAGGCGCTTCACCCGCGACAGGTCATCGCCCAGGATGATTAGAATGACGAGCGCAAAGAAAGTGGATGGCACGTTGGCTGGATCCCAAGCTTCATTCACCGGCGATCGATTTTCTACCCCAAAATCTGTTCCTGTAAATCCTCGGAAGCCCCCTGTAGGCACTTGGCATTGATAGATCCAATCGACGTACCCTTGTCGCTCTTCGGGGGTGGTTTTGTCCTGGAGAACGCCCAGGATGTCGAGTCCGGCAACGGTGAAGAAGGCGAGAAGCATGCGATTGGAGTCATTGAATGTGTATGGTTCTGGCAAAAATGTCTTAAGGCATCGGAGGAAGTATTTGATGTGACGCTCCCTGTTGAAAATGACTTCAGTCATGATGTCAGCCTTGGTTGGTCAACGACACTGGGTTCGGGTGCGGGGAATCTTGTTCAAAGAGCTCTGGCGATATTGGACAAGGGAGAATTGCAGCCGCAAGAGAATTGACAGAAGATGGCTGGCGGATGGCAGACACAGACAGGCCCTTTGTCTACTCCTTTAGCCAAAAGTTTTCGCAGACGCGCGGTCGACCCCATACCAGACTGCTTTCTTGCTGTACTGATCCGTCGGCGAACGGATTTCGATCGGAGTGTAGCCCCACAACCAGGCGGGACGGATTCCCCGTGCTGCTCTCGACCTCGGAAGACATACCACAAGCCTGTGGATAAATCTTAACAGACTCTACCACATTCAATTGACTGTGCCCACGACGGCAATCCTTGACCATGGGGTTCATATCCTCCAAGGTCCTCATTCAGGCTCACGCCATCCTCTTCATCGTCCTGGCTGTTCATTTGATGAGGTCTCCCGAAACCATCACAGACTCCGACGTGGTATTCATGCTGGGCGAGCTTCTGCATTTGGTACATCCTTCTATCTCCCTGTCTCTCCCTCCCTCCCTCTTTTCCTCTCTCTCTGTCCGATCTCCTCTCTGAACATAAGGTTGCTAATTATTCCCCTCTTCCTCACTGACCAGGATGCCTCACTATCCTTTTCCCGCCCTGCAGCCCCATTCGCCCTCTGCGGAATTCTTCTTATCGTTGACGCTCTTGTCGATCTCATTCTCGTGACTAAAATCCCCCAAACAAATGAAGTCCTCACCATGGCTGAGGCTGCACGAACTCATGCCCCAGGCTCCGTGGCTGGGGCTATGCGCGCGAATCCTTTCATGGCTCGCTTAGGCTCGCTTTACTCTGAGATCTGGACCTTCCTTTCCGCCGCCCGCTTCTGTGTCTTTTTTGCCGTCTCGTTCTTCATCTATCAAAGCCCACCATCTGGGTGGGGCATGGAGAGCGTACGCGATGTGTTGGGATTGGCTCAGCTCAAGGATCGGGTCATTTTCACATTTGGGTTCATGGAGATGATGTTCTGGCTCTGGGTATGTTTCCCTTCCTCTATCTTTCTCTTCCCCCGAAAATACTTGTATAAAGGGTGCCTTCGCAGTGCCTTGGTGGTTGCTAACCTCTATCCTAGATTTTTGTCACTATCCGGGAGGAAAAACAAGCAGTGGCTTCAAGGTTCGTAGAGCGTGATCAGTAGAGGGCTTCGAGTTGATGGCATTTTTAATGGCTTTTACGAAGCATTTGCAGGATATGTAGGTGCAGGGTGATAGAGAGTAATGCTCGAGTTAGCCTTATTGATATTACAGACATTAATGGCCTCCATCGAGTCGCAATGGACTAAGTTCTCAGGAGGCCTTGCGACATAAGGTGAGAACTGAACCCTAAAACTAAAGATGTCCCACTGCGAATTGCGGGGGGAAACCGCGAAAATATCATCTCGTCAAGCCTGTCTTGATCCCCAGTTTGTCAATGTACGCACTCTGGCCCTAGGCGAGGAATGCCAAAAGAGCCACACCCATGACCGCGAAGAGACTGGTGTCAGCGCCTGGCAGGAGCGAGACCCCGGCACCCGTGGCAGTGGAGCTGCTCCCAACACTCGTCTTGGTTGCGGTCGTTGCCTGAATATTTCCAGACGCAGACTGGGTGTTTGTGCCTGTGAGGGTGGTAGTGGCAGAGGCAGTGCTTTTTCCCGGGGCAGTGGCCGTAAAAGAGGTGACAGAGGCGCTGGTGGCGTTGGTGGAGGTGATTGAGTTGGCACAACTAGCACTGCTAGGTAGACCGGTCACGCCAGCACCGCTGCATAGCTGCACTGCAAAGGCGAGCGCAGCTAAGAGGGAATCCATCTATGATTAGCAAATCATCGTCGATGCCGTGTGATGTCATGCAAATGTGGGAAGGCCGGGTACCTTTCTCATCCTCAGGCGAGCAGGACTTCGCAACGCAGCAGGACATGTCACTGATGAAAGACTTGGTGCCGCAGATACAGCCGACATCAATGAGTTGGCAGGTCTTGGGAATAGCACCAGTCGCACATTCTCGCTAGAGCCAGTCCATAACATTGATGGTTGGTCAGACAGTCATTGATCTTGGGGCGGTTGCCATGATTGTAAGGAGGAAGGTTCAGCTTACAGCACATGGTGGGAGACTGTCCATGCCCTGAGCCACAACGGAGGCCAGGGCGCTGAGGAAGGCAATGGCCGTGTTATAGAACTTCATTTTGAGGCTTCGTTACAACCGGGGCTAGCGAGCAGGAAGCAAATGCGGAATGTAATGAGGACCGTTTTGAGTGTTCTATTCAGAAGTATGGCCAGGGTGGGTAGCCAGACGAAGGGAGTTTGAGAAAGGTGGGAGACCAGGTGAAGAAAGAAAAGCTACGCAGGGCGCTGGTGAGGCTTGCTGTTCCTTACCTTCTGATGGGTTCTAGGTTTGCGCCATTGGCAAAGAATAACACCCCAGGTTCTGAGACAATGATTTGACTGAACAAGCCTTGTTGCACCATCCAAACACTGTGATCAGGAGGGGAAGGAATGGCTTGACAAGTCAACATCTAACCTGCTGAGGTTGTACGGGGCTTCAGTGGGGATTCGTGAATCACAACAAACAACCTTACTGGACAAATGACATTACCCTTGCTTACGAGTGCTGCTTCATTGCGATGGTATTCTAGAAACCTGGAGATTGGATTGACTTGCCATCCCAACGTATCAAATTGTAAGTATGTATAAAAGAGGGATGAATGAAGAGAAAGAGGGAGCCTGGAGGGGAGAGCTGGAATGGGTTGCCGGGCTGCACTGTCCATTGCTGTGTTATGCATGTTGGTGTGGTGTACTGGCCGATTGAAGGCGCGTGACTGGCTCCACTCAGCCTGCTAATCATTTTAGAGCTCCAATCTTAAAAACGCATCCCCCACACCTCTGCGTTCCGTGGAACCATGGATGATTTACTACACCTAGGTTGACAACTTACTGTACAGGACATACCGTACCGCTTGGATAAGTTCTTTTATCCGGTGATGACCTGTCCAAAGGACAAAAGACGTCTGCAGTTTCCAACTCGAGACCATGGAAATTAAGATGCACATGCAGGACCGTTTCCACTGTTGTAAGGGGAGTGGGGGTTGGACCCGAGCTATCTCAAAGTCAGGAGAATAACGGAAGATTATGCGGATATGTTTAGTACCACGTCCCATAATTCAGGCCATTGCATGTGAAATTAGTCAAACATCTAAGTTCCATGCCATGATTGATACCAGTCCCGGTTGTTCACAGCTGTACGGAGTAGTGTGATATCCTTTTTATTCTCCCAAGAAAATGCTCCTTACAGGAATGGCATTTTTGTGGATGTTAGTACTGTAGTACATTCAACAACCTTGAACCGTTACTGGCCATCCTTCCTGGTCTTCGGCCGAACCAATTTCCAGCCGTCTTGAACCCACTGAACAGATCCCAAACTGGTCTGGTAACCAGTGCAAGCCCTTGCAGGGTCTAGAGCGGTGCTTCATTTATTTCAGAAACACACGCACGATGGTTTCCTCCGGAAATAAACTTTCCACCTGGACCGTCTACGTAAGTCTAGTGAAACGTCGACCGGTCGCGCCGTCTGAGACCACTACAGGTTTGTGGCTGTTCTACCTTTAAGGGAGTTAACTGCCATGTACACTGCACTGCTTACCTCTAACCCGTCCCTCTCCCTTACTGAGCCGTTCCAGCTGTCTCGAGAAGCCTTTGAATAGGCAGGTTTATCAGTTCACAACTACGATGGGACTTGGAGTGTTAGACATCAGGGATACGTATGTGCCAGGTAGGCAACTTCGCTCTTTGAGACGAAATCAAACAAGGCTGAAGATCGCGAGCAGGCACATCGGACATCCTTCAGACGCAGTGCTCTTACGATGATGGGCCGCCTGATCCTAGATTGAAGTATGACCGCACAGGTGCAATACCGATACTACTAGTCCCTCAACCAAGCGATGGTCCAGATGATCCGCTGGTGCGTTAATGCGAAAGCGGATAACCGGGGTCGTGGTGACAGCAACTGACGAGTTAGTGGACTAGAATTGGCCACTTTGGAGGCGCGATGTCATACTGTTCGCCCTCTGCTTCGTATCAGTACTTTGCGCGACAACCAGTTCTTTGATGGCTGCCAATACTGTGACCATTGCCCTTGACTATGGAAAAAACTTCACGTCGGTTGCGCTTCTTACAGGATATCATCTCTGTGGGGTCGGAGTCGCAGGCATCCTCATCGTACCCACCGCACGGGTATGGGGCAAACGTCACTTGTTTCTGTTGGGCAATCTTTTGATGATTGCCAGCTGTGCCTGGGCTGGGGCCAGTAAGCATAATTATCAAAGCCTTCTCTGGGCACGGATCTTCCAAGGGGTTGCGCTGGCGCCCTTTGAAGCTTTGGTCAATGCTTGTGTCGGCGATCTGTTCTACGTTCATGTAAGTGGGACCAATTCTTGGTAGTTCTTGGAACCGACGCTCATGGGATGTATACTTAGGAACGGGGTAAGAGGATGACACTGTCCAACGTTGCCTTGTTTGGTGCTGCTTTCCTCACACCAGTTCTAGCTGGTAAAATCACCCACAGTCTTGGATGGGATTGGACATTCTATCTAGTGTCTATCTTTACAGCGGCAGCACTTCCTCTTACTTTCTTTTGTGTCCCAGAGACTGCTTTTCGGCGCTCGGAAGAACCAGGTTCAGAAACATTCAATTTGCATGACCGCCGCTTGGAAACTGGTACGAGATCACGGTCACAAATGGATGACGACTCCCGAGTCCGTCGGGAACCAGATGAGCCAGTGCAACATGTTCTTCCTGTCATTGGCAGACCTACAGAAGGGCCTCCATCCAAAGAACTACCTCAAGACGCGCCAACTGAGACCGGCGCGCTCATGAATGTTTCCTATTTACAGACCCTCAGGCCCTTCAATGGCCGGAAAACAGACGAAAGCTTTTTCAAGCTTCTCCTGCGTCCTTTCCCTCTTTTCTTCCACCCGGCGATTTTCTGGGTAAGTTCTTACATACAAAGCGACATGACCGTAATAGCGTCCTGACACCGAGCATCCTACAGGCATGTTTGATTCAAGGCGTCATTATTGGGTGGACCGTATTTATCGGGGTCGTATTGGCGGCCATCTTCCTCGGCCCTCCGCTGTGGTTCAATGAGGTGCAGACGGGGTACCTCTACACTGGTGCTTTCGTCGGATCCATTCTAGGTTTGGTTATCTCGGGTCTACTGTCCGATTGGATGAACCAGGTGATGATTAAACTTAACCGAGGACGATACGAGCCCGAGTTCCGAATTCTCCTGATCGTCTTTCAGCTAGTTTTCAGCGGGGCCGGCCTGTATGGCTTTGGCCTCGTCGCCGAGGACATTGCAAGCTACGGATGGCTCGTAGCGGATGTCTTCTTAGCGCTGGTCGTCATTGGTATGGTGATGGGCGCAGTGTCTAGCGCGCTGTATATTGTTGATGCACATCGTGAGTGAATCTATGCTTGATAGAATATACTCAAGTGGTAACAGACAAGCAAATAGGGGAGATCGCCATCGAATCTTTCACCTGCATGCTGATCTTCAAGAATCTGTTCAGTTTCGTGTTGACGTTTTTTGCCTACAATTGGCTGTTATCGAACGGCATTCGCCCGGCGTTCCTGGCGATTGGTAGCATCCAAATGGGAATTTGCGCTCTGAGTGTTCCTATGTGTAAGTGGACATTACTGGTGCTAATGAAAGTAATACCGCTATCCTGCTGACAAGGAATCAGATGTGTTTGGCAAGTGGAACCGCTTCTTTTTTCACAGACACGATATACTGAAGACCCTGCATCTATGGTGAGGAGATTGGGGGGCTCGTCGAAATCTTGAGCGCATCCGTGAAATAGTATGACTTCTTCTGGATGAACATGGCACGAACATAATACAGATTTTGCCATTCTCAACTCATATCGACACAAACGGAGACAAAATACCCCCGACAATTAAACCAGCAGAAAATGCCCGACACTCCGGAGGCAATCCCAGCGCCTGGCAGGGGAAAAAAGACATGTTATTGCTCAATGTGCAGTCAATTATAACGCCCGTCCACGATAAGGAAATCCAAAATTGCATTACAACAAGTCGGTCGTTAGAATCATGGTCGTCATCGTCATCCAAAAAGCATCTCCGCCTTCATGCTCCTCAGCACGGGATCAATAATTCGACGCAAACACCGTGTCTGACGCGATGACCGCAATGGTCGCTACCTGAGCATTCAAAGCATTGTTAGTTTACTCTGTGCGCGATTCAGGAACTCGAACAAACGAAACCGTACCAGAGCCAGATCCACCCCGGGTGTCACAATAACATCCAACACAGGCCTGTAGCCCACGCGCGAGGCCGGCATCAAAGCCAGCTTCTCGTTATGGCGTATACTCTCCCTCACCTCGGCGATCTTGCGGTCCCCATCCACGATGTCGAACAGAGCGAGAACATTCCCATGCCGTTGCACCTCTAGGGTCAATACACGTTCCTCGGGCTGTTTGCCGTCGACGGCGGCGACGTTATCAAAGGTGATAGTGAAGTTCCCTCCGCGGGTAGTCGAGCCAAAGGAAGCGGCAGACCGACGACTTGCCCGACGCCGCGACCCCGTGGCAAGTGGGGAGTAGGTTTTGTCTTTGCGGGAGGAGCCCGGGAGCGTGACGGACCAATTATTGCGGAAGGAGAGGCGTCGGTGCAGTTCGAATAGCGGGAGTCCCGAGGCGTCGCGGAATTCGCGGCAGGGACGGTGAGAGAACTTGCGTCCGGTGGCGGTGAAGAGGGTGATACCGTCGAGGTCCTCGATCTTGTATGCCACGGCAGATTGGGCGTCGCCTTGCGGGCGCACGACCAGGGTGGTCTTGGTATCGGTGATTTGGTCTGCGCGGATGGCAATCGGACGGCCAGGGGCTTTTAGGACTCTACGTATTTGGAGGCTGGAGCTGGACGACGCAGAGGAAGGTGAAGCCGAGGAGAGGAGAGAAAACAACGGGAGTAAGGCCTGTTGTTGATGTTGTTGTTGGCGGCGGTGAGAGAGAAACCAGAACATGATTGGGAGGGTAGCAGTAAGGATGGGGGGGATTGTTTGTTTTTACTACTACTACTGGCAGGTATAGGAGGAGGGAGCAAGAAGAGAATAAGCGAATGACTGACAGGGTGAGAGTGTGTGAGCGATAGAGAGAGGGAGGGAAGGGGGGAGAGAGGGCAGGGGGTCGGGGGAAGAGGGAGAGACAGGGAGAGAGAGAGAATAAAAGATTTCTCAATCACAGCCAAGAGGGGGGTGGACACGAGAAACAAGGTGAGATTTATAAGATTACCCAGTCTAGTCTAGATGGGGTCAAAATGGGGTAGTTTAGCAGAGGGAAGTGGCCCTATAAGCCACAATAATGTCTGAGAGTGCATGATGCCATACCATCACGGGGCGCTGACCTCGACTTGTCCAAATTAATCCCGCTGTAGCCCCATATTCCGAGGCTGAGCAGGGAGGAAAATGAGGAGACTTCAGGAGAGAGCGAGCAAGACTCAAGATGTAGGGGGGGGGGGGGGAGGAGGAAGGAGGGGAAAGACTGGAGGCCTGAAGGAATGAAGATCAAATTAAAAATGGACAACCTCCACTTTTTCTTTCTTCAGAAAACAGGCACCCGGTTAACGTAGTAGTCTATTCAAGATGGGTGTACTGTCCAGTACATACTATACTCACACATGTGTACAGTACAGTAAGAGATGGGGTTGGAAAGTCAACTGGTAAGGCTGAAGGAGCTGCAGCAGGAAGAGAAGAAAGCTAAGAACTGGCAGCTCTTCATTAATTCTTAGCAAGACAAACGCAATGCAAACGGACGGAACTCTCTGTAGTTTGACTGCAACAACTGTAACACTCTTCATGATGACATCAGCTATCCAGAGCTGATGTCACTGTTTCTCTCCTTCTCTCGCTACTCCATATCCACGGATGGACCCGGAGTCTCTTTATCCCCTACATATTCGTACTGGATAGAAAGAAAGTACTAAGTAAGAAAGTGAGTATGATGGCCGGGGGGTTACAGCCAATCTCCCATCATCATCATCATCATCATCATCATCGTCATTAATCATAATGTTCTTTCCCCTCCTTCCGAAGAACTTTCTTCTTCCCTGCCTCATTTTTTTTCTGTTTTAACTTTATCCTCTCTCTCTCTAGGATTTCTTTCTTTTTATTTCTTTCCTTTCATTCTTCTTCCCCTCCCCTCAAGTAATGTCTTGTCCATCCTTGCGGTGGTCGTTATCTTATCATGGCCACTGTTGAACAACCCACCACCACCACCACCACCACCACCACAACGCTACCGCGTTCCCGCTCCGTGCGTCTTGCGGGTCAAGGTAAGTAAGATCGGCGCCCCCCTCCCCGATCGCCTTGCTTAATGTTCCTCTTGCATCAAACTACCAAATACCATGTCTAACAATTTCGTAATAATAATAACAACCATAATAATGAATTAGCTAATGCTTCTCTCCAGCTGCAACCGCCGCCCTGTATGTGACCCATCCGGAGCGCAGATTATCGGTGCGTGAGCCTTCCGCCGCTGAAACAGAACGTTTGAGTGAGTTTCCCCTGGGACCTTGCATGCAAGGTGAAACCATACCGTCAATGGCCTCCTCTTCCTCACTAATACGTATCTGGATCTACCGCAGCCTTGAAGGCGACCGGTTCCCGTCCCGGCTTCAGCCATGCGTCAGCTGTCGCCGCCCTCGCCCACGCCAAGAAGGAAGCTGCCGCGATTCCAGTTGTCGAGCATCAGCGTACATTGGAGTCGCCTAGTCAGGAAGGCTACAAGGCGGCTGCCTATGTCTTTGGAAACCGTCGTCCATCATCGGCTCTCTCACCCAGTTCGTATGAGTCCAAGCAAGACCTGCTTGCAGCTGGCCCGACGGCTGGGCGTGGTCTACCTGATCGAGAGAAGGCCCTTCGTGCCGCCACCGGTGCGTTAAGCGGCAGCCGGAGGCGAGCCGACTCGGAGCCTTCTGATACTCCTCACGCAGGCATGAGCACAGATGAGGTCCTCGGATATCTCGATAGTTCTATGGAGGCAAGCCGGATCCAACATATCGCTAACACCAATGCACGTCTTTATACTGCGTCCCCACCGGTTTCTCCGGAGCAAGAAGATCACAAGCGGAGAAGTGTCATGCAAGCTGCTGCTCTGTCCATGGCTCGCGAGATGTATGCCGTGGTGGAGTCTAAAGAGCAGGGTCAGGTAGGCCACGCTCGCTGGGGGTCGCAACGTTCCCCCACGGGGGCAGAGCCCATGGTTCTTCAGCAGGCCTTCAGCTTGCAGGATGCCGCCCAAAAGCGCGCGGCTGAAAAACTGGCCAGCATGCAGGATGAGACAGCCATTTACCGGGAATACTATGGCCTCGAGCCCCAGCCCACCCGATCCAGCTTGCAGCCTCGCCGACGTAGAACCTCAATCGACACGGATGTCTCCAGCGGGGATGCTGATCGAACACTGGAGATCCGGCATCAGATGTCCAGTCTCCGCTCGAGACTCAATGCCGTAGATGAGAGAAGGGAACAGGACCGCGCGCTTTTGATGGAAGCTGCAAGGAAAAATGTAGACGCCACCCTCCAGAATATGGAGATGAGGGTCTATGCGGAGACTGGTCGCGCCCCACCATCCATGCAGAAAGAAATCGAAGAGGCTGCACTGGCACGTGCCATGCTTGAAAGACAAGAGAGACAAGAAGCAGACTCCCAGCACCAGGGGATTGACCGAGTGAATATCAGCTCAAGGCGGTTCGTGGATATGTCTGACGTGGAGGCCCTGGCTCGATCCCGGCTACAGCCCACATTCGACGAGATCACCGACCGCGCTGAAAATCAACGCGCGAGAGAGCTCGAGCAGAGGCTGGACCAGGAAGAAGCCCAACGCCGAGAAGCCATGTATCGCGAACGCGAAGCAGAGACCAAAGCGGAAGAGAAACGGTTGAGGGGTAAGTCCGTTGTCTGACATGAGAATCGTTCCATTTATCCACCTCTGACAAGATATAGACTCCGTAAGACTTGAGAACAAGTCTAAAGAAGAGAAGAGCTGGTTATGGAAAAGGAAGTCGAAGCGCTTCTCCGACCATGAGCAAGACACGGCGGCTGGCCCAATCTATGGAGTGGCTGAAGAAGCATCAGCCGAATCAGCACCGCACTCTAACGCCGAGGTCAGCGCAGATGTCTCCGGTGCAGTAGCTGAGCCTGCCCGAAACGATACCGTCGCTAAACCCGAATCAAAATTCAAGTCTTGGTTCAAAGGCCGCCTGAGACGTCGCTCGAGCTCTACCCAGGCCGAAGCTTCCAAGGAGTCGAATGTATCTAAAGTGGGCACCGAAGCGTCGCGGGTCGCGGACTCTACGGAAGAAACGGGCCCAGAGGAAGCAGGGGAGCCTCTTGGCGCAGGCGAAGCTAAAAAATCTCAGACTCCCAGCGCATCCGAGCCTGTGCAAACTATCGAGGCTGGTCAGGGACGAGCCTGGGAAATCGCTCACCCTGATGGTACATCTCCTGAGATGCCAGAGCTTCCAGCCACGGCCGAAGCTCCCTCCAAAGGAGGGGCTCTGGAGGAAGAACCCCGGAGAGCGGCGCTTCAGTCCCATCCCATGGCCGAAGCATCCATCGGTGATGGCAATGCATCAAGCCTTCTCGAGAACGTCTCGGCTCAGCAGGCTTCCAATGCCAAAGACGTGCCCGCTGGCGAGACGAGCCATAAGCGGTTGGTGTCTGGGTTCAAGAAAATGGTCTCTAGAAGTTCAACCGAAGTGAAGACAGATGGGGCTGCTAGCCATGATATCGCCCGAAGAAGCTCGGAAGCAATTCCCAAGCATACAGTAGAGCGAGAAGACCGACGGGCAAGCGTGCCTGAGCATGGCCTAGCGCTGCCCTCCTCTGCAGCAAAACGCACCAGTGATGGCACAGGCCGCGAGTCGCGATTTTCTGAGAGATTGTAGAATGAAGCTACGTGTTGGCTGATGTTTTGTTCCTCTCTGATACCTATTCTTTCTTTAGTTTTGGTTTCTTTCCCAGTTTCGTTATGTTACTCTTTCCCTGGATCTAAGCTTCATTCTGTGCTTCTTGATCTTGTTACTTTAGTCTTCTCAATCTTACCTCTTGGCATTCTGTCTTTGTTTATCATATCTAGCATGCTTTTTGAGTCCCCTGTAGTTAGCTAGTTTAACAACTACACACTCTGTAACGTAATCGGTAAGCGAGTGGTCCATGTAGGCGAGTGGCCCATCTCCGTATTCCATACAAAATAGCTAGTTTCTAAAGCTAAATATCGCAACAACCATAGTACTTGAGAGACTAAGTCTATACTATATAAATATTAAGTATATCTTTTATATAAAATATCTCTTTTAGAAGCTTAAAGTCAATACTCTTAATATAATCTAAAAATTATCTTAAAATACATATATTACCAAAAATACATATCTATTTAGGTAATTAAGATATATTAGAGATTATCTCTTGAATAGTATAGATTAGTATGATAATCAGAATCTATAGAACAAATTTTATAAGGTTTCATTAGGAAATGGTTGAGAT